AGAAGTCTTCACAAAAGGAGAGAGAATGATCCAAATTCTTCTGAGTGCTGGTTTTGCTATTAAGCGAAGCAAAGTGAAAGGACCTGCCCAGGAGATTCAATTCCTAGGTATAAAGTGGCAAGATGGCCGTCGTCACATCCCGACAGACGTGATCGACAAAATCACTGCTATGTCTCCACCCACTAGCAAAAGAGAGACACAATCTTTTCTGGGTGCAGTGGGCTTTTGGAGAATGCACGTTCCAAACTACAGCCTCATTGTAAGCCCCCTTTATTATGTGACGCGAATGAGAAATGAGTTTACATGGGGCCCTGAGCAGCAGCATGCTTTTGAACAGATTAAACAGGAGATAGCCCGTGCCGTGGCCCTAGGGCCAGTACGGACTGGACAAGGTATAAAGAACATCCTCTACACTGCTGCTGGAGAGAACGGTCCTACTTGGAGTTTGTGGCAAAGAGCCTCAGGAGAGACACGAGGCCGACCCCTGGGATTCTGGAGTCGGGCATATAGAGGGTCTGAAGAGCACTACACTCCAACTGAGAAGGAGATCTTAGCCGCTTATGAAGGGGTTCGGGCTGCTTCCGAAGTAGTCGGTACTGAAACACAGCTCCTTCTGGCACCTCGACTACCAGTGCTGAACTGGATGTTTAAAGGAAAGGTTCCCTCCACCCATCATGCTACTGATGCCACTTGGAGTAAGTGGATTGCACTGATTACACAACGAGCACGGATGGGGAACCTCAGCCGTCCAGGAATCCTAGAGATCATCATGGACTGGCCTGAAGGTAAAAAGTTTGGAACACCACCGGGAGAAGAAGTATCACGTGCTAAAGAAGCCCCACCATACAATGAACTACCGGAGAATGAAAAGAAATATGCCCTGTTCACAGATGGATCGTGTCGTATTGTGGGAAAGCATCGCAGATGGAAATCTGCTGTGTGGAGCCCCACACGACAAGTTGCAGAGGCCACCGAAGGGAAAGGAGAATCAAGCCAATTTGCAGAGGTAAAGGCTGTCCAACTGGCCTTAGATGTCGCTGAACGGGAGAGGTGGCCAATGCTCTATCTTTACACTGACTCATGGATGGTAGCAAATGCCTTATGGGGGTGGTTACAGCAGTGGGAGCAAAATAACTGGCAAAGAAGGGGTAAACCTATTTGGGCTGCTGAACTGTGGAAAGACATTGCTGCCCGAATAAAGAATATGATTGTAAAGGTGCGCCATGTAGATGCTCATGTGCCCAAGAGTCGGGCTACTGAAGAACAGCAAAATAACCATCAGGTAGATCGAGCTGCCAGAATTGAGGTGGCTCAAATAGACCTGGACTGGCAGAACAAGGGTGAATTATTTCTGGCTCGGTGGGCCCATGAGACCTCAGGTCATCAAGGGAGAGATGCAACATACAAATGGGCTAGAGACCGAGGGGTGGACTTAACTATGGATGCCATTGCACAGGTTATTCATAACTGTGAAACATGTGCCATCATCAAACAAGCCAAGAGGATGAAACCTCTGTGGGAAGAAGGGCGATGGCAAAAGTACAAATATGGGGAGGCATGGCAGGTTGATTATATCACCTTGCCACGATCTCGCAATGGTAAGCATTATGTGCTTACTATGGTGGAGGCAACCACTGGGTGGCTTGAAACATATGCAGTACCCCATGCTACCGCCCGAAACACCATACTGGGTCTCGAGAAACAAGTCCTGTGGCGACACGGCACCCCAGAAAGGATTGAGTCAGATAATGGGACTCATTTCAAAAATTCTCTTGTAAATACTTGGGCCAAAGATCACGGCATTGAATGGATTTACCATATTCCCTATCATGCTCCAGCCTCTGGTAAAATTGAACGATACAATGGACTGTTAAAAACGATGCTAAAAGCACTGGGTGGCGGAACATTTAAGCACTGGGAGAAGCATTTGGCAGAAGCCACCTGGTTGGTCAATACCAGAGGATCTATCAATCGTGATGGTCCTAACCAATCCAGTTCCCTACATACCGTAGAGGGAGATAAAGTCCCTGTTGTACATGTAAAGAACATGTTAGGAAAGGCAGTTTGGGTTCTTCCAGCTTCTGGAAAGGGCAAACCTCTCCGTGGTACAGTTTTTGCCCAGGGACCAGGATCCACTTGGTGGGTAATGCAGAAGAATGGGGATGTCCAATGTGTACCACAAGGAAACTTGATGCCGGGGGAGTGCAGTTACTAATTCTATGTATATGTACATAGCCATGTGTGCATTTTAATCATTTTTTGTTTGTTTGTATATATGTATATATATTTTAAGCATGATGTAACGATGTAGAATAAGGGGTGGAATGTCATGGTTCTATGTTTTTTTGTTTTTGTTTTTTTTGTTTTTGGGTTTCAGTATTCCACATCAAAACATCATGTAGTGTACGGGACATTAAAGTGTCACTGCCCCAATCCCAGCTACCTATCCCTGTACATTACAGAAGTCACGGGATCTGGCCCTTCCGGGTGGGGGGGGCGCTCTCTTGCTGCCTGGCAGTGGGTGCTGGAGGGTGCTTTCCTAGCCGTTCCAAGCTTTTCAGGTTTGAATCGGTCCCGGGAACTCTCTCTCTCTCATCTTGTCTGATTTATTAATCTCAATTGCAATTAAATTGTATCTATTGTGTTATCTTGTATTCCGATATTATAGTAAAATAAGTTTTCCTCCATAGATTATTGCCGCTGTTCTTTTCCTCCCTTCCTTCCTTCCCATTTTGTGGGACTGGGGTGGGGGGGGGAGGGCAGAGGCCTGTCGCCCCTGTCACGGACATAGATTGATCTGGTCAAATCCGTGACACCCTCCTCTGGACCCTTTCCAAAATCTCTATGTCTTTCTTGTACTGAGGGCTCCACACCTGGACACAGTACTCCAGATGGGGCCTCACAAGAGCCAAGTAGAGAGGGACAATCACCTCTCTGTCCCTGCTGACCACCCCTCTCCTGATGGAGCCCAGGATCCCATTTGCCTTTCGAGCTGCCAGAGTGCACTGCTGGCTCATATTCAGTCTCTCATCCATCAGGACCCCCAGGTCCTTCTCTGCCGAGCTGCTCTCAAGGACTGCTCCTCCCAGCCTGTACAGGTGCCTGGGGTTCTTCCGGCCCAAATGCAAAATCTTGCACTTTGCCGTGTTGAACCTCATCAGGTTCACCCGAGCCCAGCTTTCCAGCCTGTTGAGGTCCCTCTGAATGGCATCCCTTCCTTCCACCGTATCAACCGCACCACTCAGCTTGGTGTCGTCAGCAAACTTGCTGAGGGTGCGCTCAATTCCCTCATAGATGTCATTAATAAAGATGTTAAAGAGCACCAGTCCCAAGACAGACCCTTGGGGGACACCACTTGTTACCGGCCTCCACCTGGACATAGAGCCATTGACCACCACCCTCTGTCTGCGGCCTTTCAACCAATTGCTTATCCATCGGGTCGTCCACCCATCAAATCCACTTCCCTCCAATTTGGAGATGAGGATGTGGTGGGGGACCATGTCAAAGGCCTTGCTCAGGTCCAGGTAAGTGACATCAGTTGCCTTCCCTTCGTCCACCAATGCTGTCACTCCATCACAGAAGGCCACAAGATTAGTTAGGCATGACCTTCCTTTGGTGAAGCCGTGCTGGCTGTCTCGGATCACATGCTCATTCTTTATGTGATCGAGCATGTTGTCCAGGAGGATCTGTTCCATGATCTTCCCAGGCATGGAGGTGAGACTCACCGACCTGTAGTTCCCCGGGTCCTCCCTATACCATTGTATATAACACCGTAGAAATAAGCTTCCATGATAAACTGAGGGGAACTGATGTAAATGCATCACTTTGTGGTTTCCATGCTCTTCACAGCAAGTAGCCAGAAAAGTAATCACTAATCAATACCAATTGCACAATTGGTTAATATCTCACCATAGCACTCTTTCAGGAGAGCAATGGATGGCACCTAGCAAACAGTAACTTTTTCTAAGAACTGATATGATGAAAATGATTGTGGGTTTTTACATGACTATGGGAGAATTTTAGTCCAAAGCTAATGCATTGAAAGCAATACAAAAACTTTAATGACTTGCTCAACTGTTACTTCTATAGTTATCAATTGTGTAACTAAAATAATAATTTAATTAGTATATGAAGTAATTAGGATGAAAGAGTATAAAGAGAGCTTAAAAGAAGTCTTTCCTTATTTATTGAGGTGGCCAATGTGCAACCGCTTAAAAAAAAAAAAAAAAAAGAATCAGCATCCAGTGGTTTAGTACAGAAGTTTTAAAGTTATAAGCGTGATTTAATCCCCCTTATATTTTACTTGTGATAGTTAGATTTAGTTTTCAGATTATTTATTCACTATAAAGATTAACAACTTAAATCAGCTTTCAGGATGTATATTGAAGATTTTTGCCTTATATTAAAACTATTAAACATCCTAGAGTTTTGGTAATCAAGAATTGAATAATGTACTTTGGAAAAACCTTCTCTCATTTAAGGTCTTCAAAGGATGAACATTTTTACTGTATCATCAGTGTAGCCACAACAGATAAATAGCCCAAGCTTTTAAGTGACATTAAGCCTTCAGAATATTTGCATCTACTTATTCTTAATCAGAAACACTTTTAATTCTTTTCAGTTTAAGGACAGAATGCTGTCAAATTAGCATTAAAACATATAATCATGCTCTGATATCCTGGCTTCTTGTCTAATACATATCAAGAAGTTATAGAATTATAAAAATTCTCTTTCCTCCCTTCCTTTCTCCCTTCAAAAAAAAAATGCAGTTCTAATGCTTATGCTGTCCATAAAAATAACGTAAAGTTTTAAAAATTGTTCAGAAATTCTCTGACTCATAGTCAATGTGCACTTAAGGAAAATGATAATCATCTTTTTTACATGTGTGAAGGAAAGGTTACTTTCTGAACTCTTACTGATACTATGAATTAATTTAATTACCTTATTTCCAATAGCTTTTTTTGGTGGAAAGTTAAAAGTCCTCACTTGGTGGTATTTACTCTGTAATTTATGATGCAAGCTTCTGAACTCCGTATATCTTCGATAAACATTCCATTCATCGTCCTTTATTCTTATATAAACCTGCAAAACATAGACATGAAAGAAAATATTTTTTTTCCCTAATTCTTAGGCTATTTTCCAACTATTTTAACATGCAATCCATTTCCTCCTCTTCTTAAGATTTCTGTCTTTGATGAAGCACTATGCCGGCTCACATATGCATGAAGATCAACAGGCACATCAGGCCAGAAGAGCAGATCCCAAGCTGCATTTCCACTGCATCACTTCTTACCCATAAAGACTCGTAGTTTCAGATACTGCTCTCCTCCCCTACTTTTAGGCTTCATTTCCATGAAAGTTTTTCTCCCTGCTTGAGGAGGAGCATTCAAGTACTGCAACACTCTCCCGGGGGGGGGGGGGTCCGGAAGACCATTTGAAGTACATAACATAAAAAGAAACATGAGGAAACATATGAATCAGTCAGTATTAAACAGGAAGTCTGTTGAGCTGCAAAGGATTTTAAACATTAGAGGAATGTTTATTGATGATAATCTTTGGTGAGCTTATAAGCTTATGAGCAATAACAGCCTTACCTGATTAGGGCATGTTTATCTTTAATCTTATTATGTGCAACTTAAAAATGTTTATTACTCTGCAAATAAGGAAGATTTGCAAGTAGCCACGTAAATATTGGAATCTTGTTAAGAATCACAAAATCAGTTTCATTATCTTAAGTTTCAGCCACTGGTAATAATGGAATTCAGTATGTTTTGTTTCTATTTGCTGTACACTTCACATGGAAGTGAAGTATGTATGTACCAAATACCAATATCCCACAATTGAGAAATACAACAAAATAATATTATTGCAGTAGCCATCTTGCATCATCACTAAACGAAACTGCAACTAATGACCACCACCTAGAGGCAAAATATAAATGCAAACTTATATTTTTTAATTCTGGTCTGGGCTCTGTCTTAGCCCCTGGGAATACAAGAAATTATTTTCTAACAGTAGGCTGACTGACCAACATCTGGCTATCAATAAATATTCACCAGAAGAATGGTATAAAGTGATGGAAAGTGCAACAACGACAGCAGAGAAACAAAATCCCAAGCTGCAGCAAGCAAGGAGTCTCACAAAGACAACAGCAGCAGGCACAGAAATAAGAGAAGGAAGCTGCTTACCTTTAGAAGACCTCAGGCAGGGATCTCCAGAGAGATCCCCTCACCTCCACTGCCAACACTTAAATGATCCCACCTGGGAAGGGGTGGATCCTGGCTCCACCCTTCCATCACTCAGTGCATTCCATTGCATGCACCTGAGCTCCCATGGGCTGGACCTGCCTTCCCACCAGGTGCTCCATCACTGGCTCAAGCTATGACTTGCATTTCCACAACAAATGGTCATCAAACTGTACAAATCACTAACATAAGTCACCAGAAAACACCTTTCTAACCAAAAAAGGAATAAATAATCCCCATGAATTACTGAAACATAATAAGGATAGGAATGGTTCATTGAATTCACATCCCTCTGCTCAGGTGCAAAACTAATTACAATACTGATTTGCACTAATACATGGCAAGGCAATATTCAAGATACAAGCCCAAAGAAAAACAAAGCACAGCAAGTATAGAGAGGCTGTGCTTCTGAATAAGTTAGAATGAGTGTGTACTGGAAGAAAAGGTTTACTAATCATATTTATTTCCATTTTAGGTCTGCATTAGACTTTATCACAGTATCACAACAGCAACTCATGTTTGGTTAATCCTACATTATGATCTCCAAGTTTCTTCAGCTGGCCAGCTTCTGCAAGGCATACTGATCACAACACTTACACCATTCAGAAAATTCTCTGGTGAATTCTGAAAATTATTTCTCAGATTTTTGTATTTTGTGTTCATTTTCAGATAAACACTGTGCGTGTAGGTGTATCCAGAAATGTTTTCCATCTTCCAAAACAGAGCTACTTAAGAGATCTGATATAAAAAAAAAGTGACATCTGTGTTTTGCTTGATTTTTCTTCAATTTAATTAGCCCAATAATTTTTTAGATCCATGTGAATTTAAAGTAATTGCAAACTCTGAGGTAAGAAGTCTCAAATTTCTCTCCAATTATGTTGGAAGAAAAAAAACACTGTCGGAATTTTTTTTTTTTTTTTTTTTTTTTATGTTCAACCTACTAATTTCAATAGATGCTCTAATTTATATATTGAAACAGATAAAAATCTCTCCACGCCTTTCATGATATGAAAGATTGCTACTGTACTCTAATTACTAGTTTAAGGAATTCTACCTTATTTCAGTTCCTATTCCCACCACAAATATCTGCTCTTCTGTATACGTAAAGCCTTCTCTACTTTTCAGTTTATAAATTCTCCTGTGATCATTAAGTGCCAATAACTGAGTCCCACATTTAAATTCGTCCCTCCTGTGAAAGCTTCCTTTATTCCAGAAACATCAAATTCTGATCCAAACCGTTTCTTCTTCAAATTTTATTTCATTCATGTGCCAAAATATTGGATCTCCACCACTCTGATGTCCTTTACACACTCCTTTACCCTGTGTCATCAATTACCAAATGGACTGATATCTTCCCCAAGATTTCTTAGATACTGATCCAAAAATGTGAAGTCTATCCTTCTCCACTTACAGGTAAATTTCCTTGTGTTACTCTAAAGAATGACAAAATTGAATTCCATAACACATAGCTACCTCTAGTCAGCAGGACTCTGCATCTTCAGATGACTATTCACATTGCAAGAGGAAAGAAATCCATAAATGCCTGTTTGATTTTAAAAGCTCTATGCCACAAATGCCAAGGTTTCTGTATCATTATTTATTGCTGTTATCCGGATGTTGACCTACTACTGTGAAATGGTGATATTTCAGAAAACAAATGAAAAAAAATTTAAGGGAACATCATAAATACAATTAAGTGCACAACCAATTTGATCACTCTTTTTCACTAAAATGATACACTACCTAACAGTTTCAACATCCACAGCTTACTGATACAAGTAGATGGCTTTTGTTAATTTCAAAGAAAATTCTAGACAGTGCTAAGATGTGAGTGCTTGTTATTCTGCTTCTCACAACGGTACCCTTCAACTCAGTCTGAGCACAAGATGTAGCTGTTTCTAGATCAGGTCTTTAAATTCTTAAGATTTGTAACCACTAAATGCTGCCAGTTAATTTCTGGTACAGGAACGTGATGCAACTCTGCAAATACAGAGATCTGCTTTAAATTTCCACATCTAATGAGATTCATTACAAAATATTGCTTGCCATAGGAGTGCATAGCTTTATTTCCGAGACCTAATCAGTATCTAAAGGGGAGCTACAGGAAAGAAGGGGACAAACTGTTTAGAATGGTCTGTGGTGACAGAACAATGGGAAATGGGTTCAAACTTAAAGATGGTGATTTAGGTTAAATATAAGGAAAAAGTCTTTTACAGTGAGGGTGGTGAGGCACTGGAACAGGCTGCCCAGTGTTGTGGTTGATGCCCCATCCCCGGAGACTTTCAAGGCGAGGCTGGATCAGGCCCTAGGCAACCTGATCTAGCTTTGGCGTCCCTGATCAATGCAGGGAAGCTGGGCTAGATGACCTTTAAAGGTCCCTCCAGACTCTAAGGATTCTATGTTTCTACCATACTAAAGAGTTTTACAGATAAAATCTAATTTTAAAGCAGGCTAAGCATTGCTCCCAATAGCTTTAAGTACAGTCATAAACAGCATATCTGAGATTTACACTTACTCAAAACAAGTTTCCAACTTCACCTGTTCCAATTGGCACATTTCAGCTTCCTTTATTCGACAACTTCTTCTCACAATTAGCAGTCAGTTTTTATGCCCAGGGTTCCTCAAGAACTCAGAAAAATTTTAACTCCAAAATATATTGGAAACAATCTCAGTAATATCAACATGCTACAATATTGCTACCAAGAATGATGTATTGCAAACAGATTTCTCACACAGCTGATACAAAGGATTGTAATTGCGTTTTTTACTTTCTGCCATTGGAGAAACAAATGATAAAGCAGCAAAAATAAACTGTATTATAAATAAATGGACTCTCATAAATGAGCTCGGCCATTTATCTTGTTTGTTACTCCCAGTCCTCAGCTGTTCATTCCATACTGATAGCTTGGTGAATACATTCTTCCACTATTTCAACACTGAATTAAATTCCCTGTATGAGTAGCACATGTTTTGGCAGATAAATTCATAGTGATGTTTTTGAAGGTATTCTGACTTTATATAAATTAATGCTTTCCTGATATCTATAAAATACAGAATACATATTCAGCCTGCACATGACTTTATATCTGAACCTAGATGTAGCCACCACTTTAAGTATTCACCATTGAATCATAGAATGGCTTGGGTTGAAAAGGACCACAAAGATAATCTAGTTCCAATCCCCCCTGCTGTGTGCAGGTCATCAACCAGCAGCCCAGGCTGCCCAGAGCCACATCCAGCCTGGCCTTGAATGCCTCCAGGGATGGGGCATCCACAGCCTCCCTGGGCAACCTGTTCCAGTGCCTCACCACCCTCTGGATAGAAAAACTTCCTCCTAATATCTAACCCAAACCTTCCCTGTCTCAATTCAAAACCATTCCCCCTTGTTCTATCACTGTCCACCCTCACAAACGGCCATTCCTCCTCCTTTTTATACACCCCCTTCAAATACTAGAAGGCCACAATGAGGTCTCTCAGGAGCCTTCTCTTCTCCAAACTAAACTAGCCCAGTTCCCTCAGCCTTTCCTCATAGGAGAGGTGCTCCAGCCCATAGTGAGATACACATTCGTGTACATACGCATGTCTACACTTCAATATATAATGGATGCACACAGGCACATAAAAATGGAATGTAGGCCTATTTTTTGGTAAACTCTTTTTTCTCCCCTCCCTTTAGTGTCAGAAAACAGTTATTTGCCTAACACACAATGATCTTAGTCATACAGAGATGAAAAATTGCTAGGAATACCATTGATATATCCTTCATAAGGAAAGATCTTAACAGATACTGAGAGCAAACTTTAGAAATAACCTGAAACATCTGTCATTTTTCTTATAATTAGTTCTTGCTCACTTTTCCTCTTAAAACATCTAAAGACAAAGCAGACTAAGTAGATAACTACTCAAAGGAGTTCTGTGCATTTGTATTACTAAACACAAACAACTAACAAAAGACATTCTATGTCTTTTTACACAGTTGCTTCTACCTTTTCGTGTTACATATCTCTGGTATCTTTGCACTGTCAACAGACAAAAAGAATATTCAGAAAAATGATCTGTACATTTTTCAAACAATTTTTTCATATCCAATATCATAAGAATATACTGCAGAAATAAGAAAATTCTCAAAATTGTCTTTCTGACATTGTAAAATGTCAAGTATTTTAGAATCTTGCTATGATATTGGCTTTATTTTTTCCTTGTTTGAGGCCCACTCTAACAGTCAGAATTCTTTGTTCTTCATTAATGATACTCATTAATGATGAGCAACTGATGAAATCTATTCAAAGCCACTCCATAGCAGCAGAATATATTTTCTAAACTCCATGAGGCTTTGGATAAAGCTCTGAAACTCTTTCATCCTGGCAAATATTTTTTTCCAATAAAGAAACTTCATGCCAAATATCTGCAATACACATGAATTTCACATGTTCTCAAGCTTTCAAGATTTCTTCTTACGATCAAGCACAATCAAATTGTCAAAAAAAAAAAAATCTAACTACAGGGGCTGCTCCAAAAGTAATGTCTCCTATTTTATTACATTGTCTCACAATATCAGAAGCATAAAGACATGGCAGTAGAGGTTGAATCTTCCTGCCAATATCCCATTATATTTTATTGCCATGCAAGATATGGCAGCAGAAGGGCAGTCTGACAAAATGTCATCTGACACGGTAATGCATAAGAAGCAAAGGCATGTAACTGAATCCCTTCATGATGGAAAAATAGCTTGCACTGATATTCATTGATGATTTCAAAACATTTATGGAGACCAAACAGTGGATGTTAGCACAGTGAGGCAGTGGGTGGCACCTTCCAGAAGGGGTGACAGCAACAGATTTTTATGAGATCAGCACAAAGGTTCTTGCTTATCACCAGCCAAAATGCATAGCTAATGTTGGTGACTATGTTGAAAAATGGCATCCCGTAGTTGAGAACTTTCCCTATGTACTGATGGTGTACTGATGCACAGTCAGCTGAATGAGCCAGCAGTGTGCCCAGGTGGCCAAGAAGGCTAATGGCATCCTGGCTTGGATCAGGAATGGAGTGGTGAGCAGGACTAGGGAAGTAATCCTACCCCTTTATTTGGCACTGGTGAGGCCTCATCTCAAGTATTATGTTCAGTTTTGGGCACAGAAAAGACATGGAGGTACTAGAGCAGGTTCAAAGAAGGGCAACAAGGCTTGTGAAGGCCTTGGAGAATAGGGCCGATTCGGAAAAACTGAAGGAACTGGGGCTGTTTGGTCCGGGGAAAAGGAAGCTGAGGGGAGACCTTGCTGCTCTCTTCCAATACCTGAAAGGTAACTACATCAAGAGCGGGGCCTGTCTCTTCTCACTGGTGACAGGACGAGGGGAAGTGGCCTCAAGTAGTGCTAGGGTAAGTTTAAAGTTGGACATTAGGAAACACTTCTTTACAGAAAGGTTGTTAAGCAGTGGAATAGGTTCCCTAAGGAGGTGATTTGAGTCACCGTCCCTGGAAGTGCTTAAAATCCATTTGGAGGTGCTCAGGGACGTGATTTAGCAGAGGGCTGTTAGTTAGAGTAATATGGTCAGATCACAGTTGGACTTGATGATCTGTGAAGTCTTTTCCAACCTGAGTGATTCTATGATTTTATCAAATAGTGCTTACTGTGCTCTTTGGATCTCTAGTAGTTTTCACTGAAATAAAGAGGAGGCATTACTTTTGGAATGACCTTCTACATTTCATAAGAAGTTACCAGTAAGAATAAACAAAATTCTTCAAACGTCTAAGCAAAATAGTAACGAATGTGTCTTATGTTTCAGTGAAGCAGAATATCATTAAAGATATTTATTTACTTATTTATGTTGTGTGAAATATAAACTAAGATTTTATAAAAGACAAGTCATTTGGACTATCTCTAATAAAATTGCACTGAGATCCATTTCAGTCAGAAACTTTACTATAGCATCTACGTTAAGAAGAATTACTTACTTGATAAACATGGAATGCATTAGCAGCTTTTCCACGCAGAAAGACTGAGGGAATCCAAACATTAATAAGAGCTCGATTTGATCTGAGTAGATAAGAGAAGTACTTAAAACAGGGAAAATAGAAAAACATGTTTAGGCATTAAAATTGCAAAGTTCCTGTTGTAGTTTAAGCCATCAGGTGGCTCAGCACCATAGTCATTCGTTAAACCCCCCTTCCCAGTGAGACAGGGAAGAGAACAGAGAAAAAAAAGAGTAGAACTCATGGGTTCTATAAAACTATTTACTACAACAGAAAAAAGGAAAAGGACAATAGTTACGACTATATCTATCTATATATATGAATAATAAGAAGTGATGCACAAGTAATTGCTCACCATCCCCCAACCAATGCCCAACTAGCCCCCAAAGCAGCAGCAGAGAGAGAGATGAATTTCTCCCCCTCTTCAGAACTCCTTCTACATAATATTATATAGTATAGAATAATCCTTTGGACAGTTCAAGTCAACTGTACTAATTCCATTACTTCCCAGCTCCTTGGACCTTTTGCTTTGTGTAACACTGCTTAGCAGAAACTATAAACAGTGTTGTGTTATCAATGCTGTTTTTCTCCTAAAACCAAAACCAGCATCACATCAGATATCACCACACAGAAAAAAATACCATCCCAGATGAAAGAAAGGCAGCTCCACAAAATTAACATAACTGGGAAAGAAAAACGGAAGCAAATTTATTATTTAAAAAAAAACAAAAAAAAAACAAAAAAACAATGTAGTCAATAACATTTGATTATTAATTTCAACAAGATCAAAATCTTGGTCCATACAGCATACTCAACAGCAAAGATAAGAGTTCATTAAAAAACAGAAGAGCATTGCATAGTTACAGAGAAGCCACTCCCCTCACAATTAATTTCCAGGTTTCTACACTATAAAGACACCAGCTACACCATTCACAAAAAGCTAGATTCATTCATCAAAAGCACACCACTTTGATAGGTGATGACCTGCAGTATTTTTTTTTTTTGTAGTGCTATTTGTATGCAATGAGATGAGAAGATAAGAAGGATCACCACACTATAAATCTACCATCTATCAAAATCAGAACAATAGAAAACAGTAACTTCTTGGTGTTATTTTAGAATACTAAGTTCTAGGACACTGGATGAACATTTCAAGAAGATCTTCATGAATCTAAACTTCCTGTTTAACTTCATTAAACACTGTACCAGGGCACGGACTGTACAACTCTCCACACTTTTTTTTTTTTTTAGAACAATGAAGCACCATATCAGAGAATTCAGTTTTTAGAAATAACATAGTAAAGGAAATAAATCTATTTATTTGCATATTTTTCTTTCCCATAAATGCACAAAAGATGCATATCAGAAACTTACATTTCAAAGTCTGACAGACTCTGATCTTCAGATGTTTGACTCAAATCTCCAGGGACCTATATTTACATAACAGAAATCACATGCTGATTATTATGCTTTCTACATATAATATTGTAAGAAAACTAAAATTCAACACTCAAGTTGCAAATCCCAATAAAAACTATTACTAAGAAACAATCATGCCACAGTAGCTTAAACATATCACACTTGCAAGGTCTTTATGTTATAACTGCTTTGAGAATGAGCAAATCTGGCTTTGTAAAAGGAAGGCATTTTTAAATTTTTTTTTTTTTTTTTTGAGAATCTTAGAGACAAATATAATAGATTGAGAGCAAGTTGAATTCAGCTGTTAGGAGGCCATTATAGCCACTGTCTTCAGAAAAATACATTAGAAAAAAATACTAAATTAGCGATGCTATCCATTGTTTAATTGATTGAAATTTCATATGGGATCACTCTCCGTTCAAATCCTATCTCCACGTGCTCTATGACAGCCCGTAACGCCCGCAGACTGCACCACCACAGCACTCGGGAATAAAACCATGGCTGCACACAGACAAAACACCCTCGGCAAACACCGGACAGCCCAAGGCGAGGTGACCAGAGGCCACAGACAGGGCCGCAGGGCATCCCTGGCTGCAGGCAGGCAGAGCCATGTTTCGCCCTCCCCGCCATGCCCTGGGGCATTACTGGGGCCTTACCGGGCGTTGTTACCGGGGCCTCACCCGGCCGGCCCCCCAACACCTCCCTTAGTGGCAGGTGAATGAATTTCACTTCATTTTAAATTGTAGTTTGTAATAAACTTTGATATGATAAGTCCTCAGCAAATGGCAAGTTTCAACCTCTATTGCCATCTCATTAACATCTGCCTCTGCTGTTGTGGGCCAACATAATAAAATGGGCATTACTTATGGATCAGACCTCGAACAAGGGATTTTAGCTCGTGATACAAAGGGAGGGATAAAATTAAAAGGAGGAAAAAAAAGGCAAGAATAATGACTAAAGAAACAGAACAGAAATACCATATTTTCACAGAATTTTTAAAAAATGACTGTGTAACACCTACAATTTCATTGCCTCTAGGTGCGTTACAAAACTTTAGAACAGCAATTGCTGATCTCTGTAGATTTATGGATATAGGTGACCTCATATTTTGAAACCTATCAAGTATATCATGTTGTTCAACCTTTAAAACAAAGCTCAGTTAAAAAAATTAAAACCCTTATATTTGAATACTTCAAGCAATTTTATTGTCTGAACATATCTGCCTTACATTCAATACTGCTGAAGAGAACGAAAGTATCAAAAATACCAAGTAAGGTACTCTTGGTTGATGTTTCACCAGCTGCTATTTCTGATAAGCCGATACAGATTATTACTTCAACATGAGTAACAGTTTTGAGCTAAGTCAAGAATGATATTCCTCTATTTCATAAACAAACTCTTACCGGCCCTCTCAAATCAATTAGCTCCTGTCTCATCTGGGACACAAGAGCTTCTTTAGCCATTAGAGCACGGTGCAGCCTCTCATTAAACTCGATCAATTCCCCATGCATTTCGGCCACCTGAAAAACATAATCCAGAGATAAATGTGTATTAAACTGAAAAAAATTACTCCTATCAGCATTACTAGACTGCAAAGTTGAATGAAAGCTTCAGTTCTGAGATGATCTATCAATACCTAATATATCTGGCAACGGATTTGTCTTGAATGGACAATGGTGCTTTGTAAGCCTTACAGAAAGGAAACATGAGCCAAAAAGAATTCGTAGAATTATTTTCAAGACAGAAAAGAAGACTCCATTTAGAAAATCCTACTATTAGAAGTTTTCAAGTAAGTAAATTATTTCTACATTCTCTATAAAAAGGTAATGTTGACGTGGACCAGAATCATAGAATGCAAGGTAAGCACTCCTAAGGCATAGCAAGAAAAGCTACACTTAGGAGAAGAAGTCAAAAAACAGCAACAGGTTGGCCCTGGTAGTGGGCATAGTGGACTACGGTAAGAATACAGTTAAGCGTTATAATTTTCAGGTTACAGCAACTCTTGCAACATCTCAAAGAGCCATCAAAACTAGGAGAATACAGAGGATTATGGGATAATATTAATAGGAGCAGAGTGAAATAGGATAAACCTCAATCCTCTACTTCAGCAATAGCACAGTGACTTGGATTTTTGCCAAATGTCTTTAGAGTTCATACTTTTCTTTCTGGAGATAGATCACTCCACTTCAGGCATTCCAGGCTGAGATCACAGAATAACAGAATTGCAGGGGTTAGAAGACACATATTGGGATCATTAAGTTCCCTGCTAAATCAGGTTTCCCTACAGCAGGTTGCTCAGGAAGGCATCCAAGCTGGTTTTGGATATGTAGATTAAGCAATAAAATAATTTACCCAGAGTTACTGGAATTATTTTCAAACTAGCTTAACCACTCATTGCAATTCAAAGTGTCTGGTGTTGCATTTAAGAATATTTAATACAAAAGTAATATAACATTTAAAAGAATGTAAGAATATTTAAGAATATAATAAACTCCTCTCTGATTTATGTTAATATTCACAAAAAGTTCAGCTGATGTGCTAGAGGAAAAGGATGTTATTCAGAGGGCCCTTGCCAACCTCATCCAGTTCAACAAGGCTAAGTGCAAGGTCCTGCACCTGGGTCAGGGCAATCCCAAGCACGAATACCAGTAGGGCAGAGAATGGCTTGAGAGCAGCCCCAAGAAGGATTTGGAGATGTCGATTGATGAAAGATTCAAGATGAGCCAAGAATGTGCACTTGCAGCCCAGAAAATCAAACGTATCCTGGGTTGCATCAAGTGCTACCAGCAGGGTGAGGGAAGTGATTCTGCCCTTCTGCTCTGTTCTCATGAGACACAGCCTAGAGTACTGCACCCATTTCTGGGGCCTCAACACACAAAGGATATGAAGCTGTTGGAGCAGGTCCAGAGGTGGGCCACAGAGATGATCAGAGTGCTGGAGCACCTCCTCCACAAGGACAAGCTGAAAGAGCTGGGGCTCTTCAGCCTGGAGAAGAGAAGGCTCTGAGGAGACCTTATAGTGGCCTTCCAGTATCTGAAGGGGGCCTACAGGAAAGCTGGGGAAGGACTTTTTGTAAGGGCAGGTAGCAGCAGGATGAGGATAAACAGCTTTAAACCTAAGAGTGATAGATTTAGATTAAATTTTAGAAAGAAATTCTGAGTGTGGTGTGACATTGGAACAGGTTGTCCAGTGATGTTGTGGATGCTCTTGCCCTGGAAGCATCGAAAGCCAGGCTGGATGGGACTTTGAGCAACACAGTATAGAGGGAAGGGTCCATGCCTATAGCAGGGGGTTGGAACTAGATCTTAAAAGGTCCTTTCCAACCCAAACCATTCTATGATTTATTTCTATAAAAATGTTCAATATTTAATGGGAGATTTGGTTATTAAATTCCATTACTTCCACCTGGGAAGTCATTTATATTCAAACCTAAGATGAATCCATAATCTTTCTTTTTTGTTTTTACTTTTTTTTTTTTTAAGCAATTAATGAATTATATGTTACTTTACAAAAGAGAATCTTGTATTAGGAACTTTTTCCAACATGATGACGTCAATTGAACTGGTAGCTTCCATCAAGAATTTCCATACTACAGTACTCCATAAGCTACATTATAAAGCTTTATGAAAATTAAACACAATCAGAAAAGATCCAATCAGAAAGCTGTACAAATGCTTAAAAAAATATACATATATTTCATTATGTTCTTGGGAATCTTTAAAGTTCAATTCATAATACAATGAAGCTTATGAACAACGTACTGTAGCTTATACAATGCCCAAAACCTAGTGTCTGACCACTTCATCGCCATCAATTATAACCTTAAGGAACTTGCTTATTAAAAATCTTCATAAAAGCAGTATTTCTTAATGCAGTAAAATAAATCAGTTCAAAATTGATGCATGAAATCACTGTTAGGCTGAAAAATAACATAATTAAACAAATGTAGCTTTTTTTATTGTAAGCAATGTCACATTCTTATATCAATCAATTTTAATAATATGAATGTATATCTGTAAGTGTTTCAATCACATGAATTGCTTTAAATTAGCTTTGAAGTTGAATTAATAAACCTGCATGTTAACCACAGAAGTATGAAAATTAAGTTTTTAATTTTTAGAACAAAAATAAAATTTTATTTTAGACTAATGGGGGAAAAAAGCTAAAGATAGAAAACGTTTACAGCTTCAAATGCTATGTTATCATTACTATCCCTCAGAAGTTATGCAGAATACTTTACCTCAATCAATTTTCTTTCATAAGAGCTGGCTAGCTCCTCATTGTTTTCTACTTGCTTTTGCTCTGGAATATTAAGTTCACCATCAGTGCTCCAAATGTTTGGCAAAACTAAAAACAAAGAGATACCTCAAATTAAAAACATTAAATTACATAAGACAAATTGTTTCAAAGTAGCAGTTCTAAAAGAAACAGTTCTTAGAAGTATCAAAATTGGATGTAATATTAAACAGTATTACAAATACTACAATGAAATGCTGCAGGGAACTTTCTAGTATGCACTGTTAGACAAGTTCTCTAATCTTCACAGGAAAAAAATAAAAGCTAGAAGAATCTGGCTATTTTGTGACTACAGCTACATAGGTAGCAACTCCAGCTCCTACCAGTACCCTTTGAAAACTAAGCTTATGTTTTGTTTTTCTTTTTTGTAATTACTGTTCCAAAACATCATTTCATATTACTTGCACAGAACTATTCTGTGCAACATCATAGTAATTACAGATAACAGGGCTGAGAAATGACATTTCAAGCTTCACGTGACATTTCGTCCCTTTGCATACAGCAGAATCAGCTGTATTTATTTTATTCTTTACAGTTAGTTGTCTAATTTATTCTTAGAAACCTTCAATAAAGGAGATTTCATGTTTCTGTGCACAATTTATTTGAATGCAAGTATTCTTCTCAGAAAAGGTCTTCTTGTAGTTAATCAAAATTGCTCCTCTTGCCACTTAAGCCCATTACTTCCCATCCACAGCAAATGAAAACTGGTTTATTCTATTCCAGTTCCTAGCTACCACTTACATATTTGAAGATCACTTGAAGGTCTAAGTAAATCTCCTCCAAATTGCACAAACTCCAACTCAAACTTACCTTCACAGATCATGAATTTCCAGAAAGAAACAAGTCTGCACATGTAAACTAAGTAAGTCCCAATAGAAGAGATCTAATAAATGCTTTTATTATTTTCCAAAATCTAGACTACACGTACAATCACAATAAAGTATGTAGAAGACACCATAATTCATCTCAGTACTGTCCAGTCTGGAAAATGACTTTATCTTCAAATAAGAATATGTATATATTCAGAAGTCAGTTTGCATTTGAAGTGAGTTTTGAAAACTACTTTAAGATCTAATTCTTGTAAATCTTGCTTGAAGTTCTTTGAATAGAAACTTCTAAGATCAGCATTTCATATCAGCATAAAATTTGATTATAGATCTTTCCTAAGCAACAATTCTGCATAAGACTTCCACAATTTGATGAAAGCTGTCTCTGCACAGTCAGTATTCCCTTTATGTTTTTACATCTCTCACTTGCAAAAAAACCACAGGAGACTACAGCAATGATATACCATATTTTATCATAGCTACTTTTACACTTACTCTACTCAAAGTAAACAAAAACCAAAGGCAGCAAGAAAACTAATATGATAGGCAAAGACAGAAAAAAAAAAAAAACCAGCAAGGCATAAGAAGCTAAGATCAATTTTACCGAAGAAAAGCATGCATTACTTCATAACAGAGCCTCTAATTTATCATGGTTTCTCCAAACCAACATTTACTAACGGCAATCTTGTGGCTATTGACAACGATGACAGTCACAAAGGCTAGTAAGTGACTATTAATCATATACTATGCTTTCCTTATTTGTCCACTACCAGCACAGAGAGAACCCATTGGATAGTTTCATTACAGAATACCTCCTCCACAGATAAATTTGTTAAATACGGAATCACAAAATGGCCAGAGTTGGAAGGGACCTCAAGGATCATGAATCTCCAACCTCCTCCACAGGCAGGGCCACCAACCTCCACATTCAATACAAGACCAGGCTGCCCAGGGCCCCATCCAACCTGGCCTTGAACACCTCCAGGGATGGGGTATCCACAACCTCTCTGGGCAGTTGTTCCAGCTCCTCACCACTCTCCTTGTGAAGAATTTCCCACTGACATCCAACCTAAATCTTCCGTCCCTCAACTTAAAACCATTTCCCTTTGTCCTGCAGTTATCAACCCTTTCAAAGAGTTGATTCCCCTCCTGTTTGTAAGCTCCCTTTAGGTACTGGAAGGCTGCAATGAGGTCACCCTACAGCCTTCTTTTCTCCAGGCTGAACAAGCCCAGCTCCCTCAGCCTATCTTCATAGAGGTGTTCCAATGCCCTGATCATCTTCGTGGCTCTCCTCTGGACCCTCTCCAACAACTCTGTCTTTTTTGTACTGGGGGCTCCACACCTGGACACAGTACTCCAATTAACGTGCTTGTTCTCTCAAATTCACTTACTTAGTATCTGGACTGCTTTGCATACAGTCATGTTTCACTTCTATGCTTTGATATTAAAAAAGTAAATAAATAAAAGAAACAGAAAGCTGCAAGTCTCTAACCTGAAATTTTCCAAGTAGCTCAAAGTTTAAGGCAGTATTTTATTTTACTGTTTACTTCAATTTTCATTTCTATTTAATAGCCAGACGTTATTAACAATAAATCAAAACCTTCTAATGATCAGAATTGCAATGTTTATTGCTTGAGTCTTTCAGAAAGTGTTTCTACCAATAAATGTATTTATTGGTTCATAAAGGTTACTAGGTAATGTCTTCATTAATTTTTAATTAAAGACAGAGACAAAATGGCGACCTTTTATATGTAAAGCATGCAAAACTATACAAGAACCTAGCAGTCCTCTATAAGTATCTGATTTTACAAGCTATAAATTGGCTTTACTTTCAGGTTATCCTTTAATCCAGATTGAAACTGATGTTACTCATTTGTTCAAGCACTGCTCATTAATAAATACTTCACCAATTTAGATTTTTAACAGTAAGTTTAGTTGACAAGAGACACACAAACATATTCCAGTTCCCAGCATCTAGTATTGTCTATAAACGTGACAGTGCAATGGTGCAGTCCTTGCATGCCCTCCCGTCACCCCCAAACCAGCCTGGTTCTTATGCCCAAGGCCCCATGCAGAAAATGAAGTGCAAAAGACCTTGCCCTTGGCAGCAATAGCAATCAGGGTTTCACTACTAGCACTTAGACACCTGATAACAGACACCCGGGTTCCACAGAACCAGTTCTGAGTTGTAGGATTAAGTCAATCATCTTACCCCATAAATAGCAAGCAGTCTGAGAAACCCCTGGAGAGTTCTTGCAAGCAGCTGGCTGGGCACCCATAATCTCCTCTAGAGTAGGGACATCTCTCAAGGTGCACAGAGGTGCACCAGTGACATGGTGGCACCTTGCCAACAGATCCTCAGTAAGTGATATACTGTTCTTAAGCTATACTAGTTTCACTAAGATTGTATTTTAAATTCATCATGCACCCTCTATCCTCCATGTAGCAAATAGTTGAGAATATCTAGCCATTTCAAATCTTGTTAAGTTCACTGTTATCATTCTAAATAGATATAAGATTTGAACAATCAATACATATCTTTCTGCCTTTCCTCTTACAAAGAAAGTGTGCAGTGCTTTTTCTCCTTCCTCTGTGACAAAAAGGAAGAATATACTTATTTCTACACACTGATAGTATTTGGTCAGTACAGTAACACACGTCATTTCACTGTTTGAACTAACTGAAAGTTTGTAACACTTGCTCACACTGAAACACAACATACAAATAGAACATCCAGAATTTCTAAGAAACAATTATTATTAGAAGTATATTTTGTTCATTTTACTTCCTTATTTTAAAGTTCTTCTGACACTAATGCAGCATAAGTACACTTAGTCTCACATAAAATACAACTCTGACAACATGAACAGCTTTTGATAGATGAAGAAAGAAAGACACCAGATGGCATGGCATAACTCAAGATTAATTTTGTTCCTTCATTAGACTGTGCTTTCCAAACCATGCTATTCCTTGTTTTCTTGCAAACACAATATTATTTGCAAGCTGCTGTCTGAATCTTCCAAATTAGATTAGTAGACAATTTACTTGGTGCCCTTTTTTGAAATTAAAGTTAATTTTTAATTTGAAATTTCTTTAGTGCCCAAATTTTCCATGATTCTGTCATATCAATTCACTAAATGATAAAAAGTGATCTCTTCATATTTCTTCCATTTTTAGCAAACTTCAGAAACAAACTACTAGCAGTAAGGAACTCCCATTGTTCCTGTCATCATTTCACAGAATCACAGAATTGTAGGGATTGGAAGGGACCTCTAGAGATCATCGAGTCCAACCCCCTGCCAAAGCAGTTCCCTGCACCAGGTCAAAAAAAAGCACAAATCCAATTAAAGCATTTCAGGGTTTCCCTCCCAATACCCACATTTTACGAAACCTTTTCAAGGTTAGTCAATTAGCTTCAAGGGTCTGTTTGGATAAGTGAGAACAACACAGAACTCCTTAAATAAACAGAACCTAGAATTATAATATCTCAGCAGGTTTAAAAAGTGGTAGACATTTAGATGGCTGAGAAATCAAGATTACAATTTATTTAATGCTTAAATATCAATATTCAATCTGTTCTGCCTACAGTAATTTTCACTCACTTTGAAAGCTATTCGAAAGCATACCAGGTATGCTATTCTGAACTAGACACAGTTCTAAAGTTTGGGCATTGTATTTATAAACATATTTTTTTAAAAAAGAAAACATTCAGCAAGTCATCTCAAGGGAAGCTATCATGCTGACTTCTGTTTAGTTCCAGGAATCTATTCTCTACAATTAGAAAGATTAACATGGTGGGAGGGCAACACATGAGTGAAACAGCAAAGGGACCAGCGCAGATAGGAGAATATTTCAAAGAAAAAGTTAAGGTGCTCACCCATCTCCAAAGACATTCATCTCTAAAGGATTGCAGAAAGGACTTCACAACAGATCTCCAACCAGAGAACCTTCCACAGTGGCAGTCAGCCCTTAACTGGCATCTAAGAGAGGTGAAGCCAGGCAGCACCCCTTCCAGTTGCAAAGCTGAATTGCCTTCACCTTTTCTCCTAGGCCTGACTGGGTCTTTTCCCAGGTGATCAATCAGTGGTTCAGGCTATGACTCAATAGTTTCCATACACTATTAAAAGCTTTCATCAATAGCACCTGATCTAATTTATTGTATAACCACACAGACTCTTCTTTATTTATAGTAAAAAAAAAAAAAAAAAAAAAAAAAAATCACTGTAGAAGCTCAACCTATTTTGAGCCTTTCAAAATAGTTTCACAGAAATTCTAAACATATAGTATTCTAAACTATATGTAAGATGACTTGAGTTCTGATATCATTTGGAAGAAGATAAATCATCACTGAAATTAGTTATTATGATAACATAATGTAGTATTGAAATTAGATGTATGAAACAGTTTAATTATCCCTGATGAGCACAATTTCCTAACACTCCAGAAAAGATTATGGCTGAGTATGTTTTAAGTTTAAACAAATAGAACTCCACTTCCCTGTAAGGCTAAAGTAAAGAAACTTAATCTATGATATATGGATTAATATATAAGAAACAGAAAAGAGTTACAACTTAAAATGACAAAAGCAGAGAAATCAGAATTTTCTTCATCCTATTGTTACCAATTGTCACAGTGTAAGAACACAGCAACAAAACAGATCTTGCAAATGTACTGTTATCCTTTAAACATTAGCTAATTGAAAACAAGACAAGTGTTATAGGCACTTCAAATTATACTATAATTAGAATTTAAAAATTTGAATTAAGTTACACATTGATGTATGTATTGGAAAGTATAAATAGCACTTTCTAGTAATGCAAACATTCTTAATTATCAAAGGAAATAGCTGACGAATTAATGCAAGAGATACTGCAAGGTAAGCATGTTGGATAAAACAGTTACTATACATCATTCTTGAAGGAGAGTATAACAAATCTGCTTTCACAAATAAAAATCCTACTATCTAGCTATTTTTAGATGGCAGTTTTTTAATCCATCTCACTTTAAGACAACGTAAATTGTTTCATTTTTGTTATTAGTTGGCAGCATTTTTTTTTTTTTACATAAATATTCACAGCCTAATCAACAAGCCCTGTTAATCAACTTCTTCATTAAGTGACAAGGGTCCACTGAAGAGTGATTAAAGCAGAAGAAAACAACTAAAAGATGCCTTCTGTTGTCCAGCAATAATCTGAGTACAGCATAAGGCCTAAGAGTTCAAGAAATCCACTGAACCTTAAAAAAATAAAATGGGACAGAAAGATTGCCAAAAGAGAGAGGACTTATGCATTGTTCCAAGCTGAAGTGAGAGATTCTCAAACTATATATAAGATCAAAGCAGTGTGTGCAGTTTCAAGATGGCTGACTGTCTCTGAGAAACAGTAATTATAAGATACATACTTTACATAAGTACTTCCTCCATTAAGCTTCAGAGTTACCATTTTACTGAGTTTCTAGATGCAATTCTGGTGCTGTAAAAATGTTTCCATATATTCAAATAAAATCTTGTTTTCTGCTGCCACAATTAAACGTTTGAACATTTATCACATCGGATGGCAAACAACAAAAACTTCTGGAAGTCTTCAAACTGTGAATGCCAAAAGACAAATATTTTGAAGAGGAAGCTGCAGATTAGACAGTAAGTTTTACCTGACCCAGAAGATGCTTTCCAGCCTGGATCCAATTTGCCAACTGTGTGTAAGTTTTTTTCAATATAACCAATTTTTAAAGATACAAAGATGATTCAGTAGTCCTGTGATCATGATCACTGAATAAAACATAACACACTAAATTTCTAACTAGTCTAATGATTTTTGTTCATATTTGTGTTTTGTTCAGACTATTATTTATTCAGATGATTGACTTAATACAGGATCTCTGGTCACAAAAACAAAAAAAACTTGTTTCTTACAGTAGTTTCTTAACACTTTTGTATCTCCACACTATTAAATGCACACTGTTTGCTACTTCTCACAAAGCAGAACTTGTGTTGACTATATTGTACTTCAACTATTAATATTTGTGTTTTTTTCTCGAAATATGTTAGTACTCAAGCATTATTTACATGTGCAAGTACTCTTCTGAGTTAGAAGCCCCAATACTACTAAAAAGTTCACATAAATCACCAGTGGCAGAAAAAAAATACTCAGTTACACAAAAAACAAATGTATGAAATTTAGAATGTAAGACAAATTATAATAAACAATGCACAAGTGACGTAGCTCAAATTTATTTTGGTCACTATTGATAAGTATTACAGGCAATTACTGTGGGTGGATTAAATATCCTTTGAGCATAAAGCATACATATATTCAGTCTTAGAAATGCTGGTAGTGTTCCACCTCCCTTCTTCAAGAAAAGCTGACCAACCTACTCAGTTTCTATTCTTATCATTCACTAATTTGCACAGTTTAAACAAGGCAGAGTATAGTTAGCCAAGGAATTTTAATCTTTTTTTTTCCTAGACTCATCATGCAAATTGTCAGTATTTAATGAAGGATAATTTCTGCTCTTATAAGAAGCTTAAGAGATGTTCTTTGTGAATAATTATTAACATAAACCACTACATTACAGCATTACAGCAGCATCAGAAGTAAAAATTCATTCTTACAAACAACAATCCTTTTAAAGATTAATGGAATTTTTCAAGTACAACTGTGGTTACAAGCCCTTAGGAACACAATTTATGTAGTATTCATTCATATAGTCAGTCATCTGTATGACCATCACACTGACAGGAAAAAAAAAAACCTGCCAGTTTCTGAAGAGCCACCTACTTCCTCTCTCAAAACATCTGTAGACGGCAGTCCTACCAGAAGATTACTCAGAATTACTACTGCAAGTCACTTTATCAGGGACTCTTCTGTTCCCAGTGATCACAAAAGAAGAAAGTAACACTGTCAATTACTTGACTCGTTACCTTTCATATAAAATACTTGCTTATTAGAGTCAATGCACCTTACAAAAAAAAAAAAAGTGAAGTATTTGGTCTATACAATCATAGAATTGTTTGGGTTGAAAGGGATCTTCAAGATCATCTAGGTCCTCCCCCTTCCCACCCTGCTGTAGACAGGGACACCTCCCTCTAGACCACATTGCTCAAAGTCCCATCCAACACGACCTGGAATGCTTCCAGGGAGGGACATTCACAACCTCACTGGACAACCTGTCCTTACCCTCTTCAAGTTTAAAGCCATTTACCCTTGTCCTGCCACTATTTGCCCTTATAAAAAGTCCCTCCACAGCTTTCCTGTAGGCCCCCTTACCTGCTGCTTATCGATCTGGACTCACACAGTACTGGGCAGCCCATTATGCACTGAGGTTCATTTCAAGATCAATCAGAAAAAAAATGCAGATGCATATAAAGAATACCTGTGGCTATTCACTGCCTATTCTTCCATTGCAGTTCTTTATACAAGTCCAGGAGCAACTTCCACCATTTGGTTATTAATTACGTCTCCCATAAATTCTGTCTCAATGGCAGAATTGTGGGCATAGATTTTTTTTTTTTTTTTAATCCTTACCTTCCACTGCTTGACCTTCTCTTCTGAGCATCTGGACAGCTCCTACATACTTCTTAAGTTGCACTTTTAGCACTTCATTTTCTCTGTTGATAAAAAGAACAGCATAAGAAAAGATAAGTGTTTTCTCAAAATAGAAAACCATTTCAGAGGAAACAAATATACCAGCTGTGATAATGAGCTTCACTTAGCTTGTCATCAGGATTAAAAAAAAAAAACCAAAACATTTACACATTAAATAATATGTCAACAGATAGAGTACCAGGCAAATTTGTTTTCTAGTATACCTGTAAGTAACTACAAAATTCTAGATAGATAACACACAGACTACAGAAAACTGAGAACAGTTTACACACAAAGGTGTACTTTTATTTATGGGAATTTAGTTAAGAAAGAGAGCTCTATTTGCACATGCAAATATGTTTGCTGGACCTTGTTATACATGTTGGCCCAATATATATGCTTAAGTTGCTGTTGTGTGCAGTATAATTAAGATTTGCAATCCAAAATTAAATTAAATATCACATTGCTTTCCAGATTATGCCATTGTTAGCAATTTCCAAAAACAAAAGAATAATCAACTTAACTGCCTTGATGCTTATATATTATTAACCATAATTAGGCAGCTGTCGGAAGTTCCATGAATGCATGCGGAAGAACTTCTTCAAGGTAAGGGCAATGGAACACTGGAACAGGTTGCCCAGAGAGGTTGAAAAACATTAATATTTATTCATAGCAGTGCTCTCAAGCCAATATAACAAACCCCAAAGACAATTAGCATATATTAGATTGCAGTAAGCAATCAACATAAACACAGGACAACAGAAATTCTTTTTTTTACCCCAATTCTGAAAAGGTAAATAATTGATTTATAATAGCACTATATATTGTATGTATGTATGTATGTATGTATGTATGTATACACACGTATAATTTTTAAGAAATTACACTATAATGTTGAAAAACGTCATAGAAAGTCATGCTTTTTGCCATAAATAATTAAAAACAATTATGACATTTTCACGCCTGATTTCAAAATTAAGCATCAAGGAAAACAGTAAATTATGGAAGATAACAAAAAGATTAATCTGCCTACCTGTATGACATCAATTTGCTAATAGGACAAAAATAAGAGAAAAAGATACTGGTTTTGTTTTAATAATGAGGACTGTTGGTTGCTGGTTTATTTTGTTAATGCTGGAAAACAAGGGATTGTACTAAATTGTATATGTCTTTGGAGGTTTTTTTTTTTTTCTGTATTATTACTTTTTTTTCAGTATTTCTTAAATTACACCCAGTGTACAAATTACTTGGAATATAAAAATTCTAAGGAGTACTTACATACTTCTTGCCTTGCAATTAAACAGCACAGATACTTCATCCTCTGTTGCCTTCTGAGATCCCTTAGCAGCACTGGCTAGACTCATTACTGAACCACTCAACCCAGCCACTATTTTTGCAGCTCTTATTTCTTACTATTAGTCTAATTGCTATTTTAGGATTACTTTCAAATTGTTGCTATTACTTTTATGACTGTTCTAATGTTTCTCACCGTGCCAAGGCTTGGACTTTCGTGGCATGTCGCTCTTCCTGTTCTGCTATCTTCCTTCTCCAATTGTCCATTTCCTGCCTCAGTGCTGCAGAATGCTCCATCTCACCATCAAGCAGATTTCTAAGGGACCTGGAATGGCAGCAGCATCTGTTAGGAAACTGGACAGTTACTAATTAGAGGATAATGTACTAACCACAGAGTAGATTGTTTGAATGATACCATTAATGTCATGTCACCCTAAAATTTCCTTATTCAGTGTAAAAAATTCATCCAGATTGATTACATAAAGATACGAAAAGCTGCAAGGAAAGAGTATCCAATCAAAACAAGTTATAAATGCTTATTATTAAATTTGTATTAATCCCATAAACATGCACAATTTATTACCATATCTACTGTACTACCACACACACAAAAATTCACTATAATAGAAAATGACTTAAACCTGGTTTCTGCGCTCCAGTGAAAGCTCCTACTTCCCAGAAATAATCTAAAATAAGTTTGTTTCTTAGCCACAGAAGGAGACAGGCAGGACACTGTCATGCACCTCTGTGTGAAAACCTTGATGAGCAAAGAAGGATCAACATTATGTGAAACCCAAAGCATATTGGTACTTCATACAAAACACCTAAAGTTGAATGGAGCAGAAGTTTGCAATTATGGTATAGAGTAATAAAGGACATCTCCAATATATTTTTATTTTCATTTATTTAACCACGTTTCAATATATTATTAAGTAAATTAGGTTTGTGAGTATGTTGAATGAACAACATACTATTTTTACATTTACACAATCATTTTGCCCCAACAGAACATACAGACATTCATGCATGAAAGTCATTTCCAATGCAACATTGTTAGTGGTCCTATATCATTTCTGCACTGCAAGGGGAAAAAAACCAACAACTTTGAATATTTGCATAAATATAAACTTTAACTCATTCAGAATGTCTTATAAGATCATAAGACTCTTTTGCCTATAAATTTTGATTTCAGAAACCTACAACTGGCAAAACCTCCCAAAGATACCTATATGTGATTTGAATTCAAAGGAAAAAAAAACTGCGAACAGTTGAATATTGATTCCACAGTTGAATGGTGAAGTACTAAGCTTAACTTTCAAATACAATTTACATCATAAAGATGACAGATTACATACAGCTTTATATAACAGACATCCTACATTAAAGAAACTGAATGACAACAAGTTTTTGAAATTATATAGCACTTCTTGACTGGAAAATTACCTATTCTGTTCTTCCAGTTCATCTTTTCTATTCACCATGGCCAGAATAGCTTGACGAAGTTCATCTAAAAACAAAAATGGGGAAAAGGGGAAGGGGAATGGGAATGAATTTTTGCACATTTAAGATCTAACAGTCATTTATGCAGAGGTGCTATTTCAGCAGCACACTTAGGATGATGTCAAAATCACTTGCTACTCAACAAAGCACCTAACAATTCTCTTGATCTCATCAACCATTTGAAAACTGTATTATTTAACATAGTTCCAGAAGTATCAATCAAATCAATCTCTATTTAGTTTTAATATAAACATAAGTTTGTCTGTAGTAGAGGCTGTTTTAATCACAGCCAAATGAGGCATCTTAAGATATAATGCATCACCTTTTCACTGTATTAATGAAATACATTATTACTTGCTAATCTTCTTGAAATTGCTTACTTTCTTTGCTACAAAACCTGACACAGTCATCTAAGTACTATGAGACCATAGTAGAGATGACATCATCGCTTTCTCATGGCATTTCTTCTCAAGTTCAGTCTACTGTTTTAAAGATGATAGAATTTCTGATTCTATTTCCTATTAGAGAAACCTTACTTCATATAAATAACTTCAAAAATAATTTAATTTCAATATCAAGACAAAAAAATTAAGACAATTTCTTTGAACTTGTAAGAAATATCTTCAGCTGCACTACCATTTCAAGGGAGATCTTCTGTTTCAGTGTGGGGATAACTTAAGAATCAACTTTCTGTACACAAGTCAGTATTTCACTTGCATTCTTCTGAGTTATGTTTAATGTTGTTACCAGAGTACCTTTTCTGAACTGTAAAGAAAAGTGTCAGCTCAAAGCCATGCACTTGGAATCCTGCTGTTATCATAAAGGTTTTGCAATCTAACTGCACAGCTGTACTACTACTAATTCCTATAAATCTACAGAAAGAAATATTATGGCTTAATCATCTAACCTAAAAGAGATTTTGACTTTCAGATCTTGTACAAATCCACAAAATAGAGCAGCCCTTCAAAGATTTGAATGGCTTCTAGCAAACACCTGAATACATACACAGTTTCTCATAACTGTGTTTTGTTGCATTGTTGTTTTTCTGTCCTGCATATCAAAAGGAGTGATAAAAAGGCCAGTTCTATTCAAGTATATCTGAAAGGAAACTGGAAAAGAAGAAGAAAAAAAAGCAACTTATTTCAAGCTTTGTTTTCAAAATTAAGAAGTACAAAAACCCATAGTCACTGGAGACCTCCCAGCTTTGTTCATTGCACTACTGCAGTCAATTTTTCTTTATTGTTGTGTTAGAATTAGTTTCTATGCAACCAAGCTATACGCTTCACCATTTAATAAGGCTTCCACTAATTGAAATACAGAAAAAGAACCTCAGTGTCTGGGTTTGTAATAGCATGGAGTTGTTCCTGTATGGTAGATCCACATCCAGTAGCAACAAACTTGAAAAAAGTATTGTGTTCAACATATTTGGAAACAGCTCTTACAAAAGTATTAACTTGTAAGAACAAGCAGTTGAATTTTTATTATAATGATAATTATTTACAAATAATTCCACTGGCTTCGTAGATTGACATCCTTCTCCTGTTTGTTCCCTCAAAACCTTGTCTAGAATAAAAATTTAATGTTCCATCTATGTTTCTTCTGATACTATGGTTCATTTCATTTAGAAATTGCTAAATATCAAGAATTGAAAATCTCAAAGTCTACTGTGCATTTCATGGTTGTCTCAATTACACGTATGTACTGTCTAAGCAACTGAAGAGACCAACTGTGGCCTCTGCTGGTATCTATGAAGCAATAAAAGCAATGAAGTGCAATAAAAGCAGGAAGTTTCCCATTAAAACTCTATTACTGAGAGAAAAAAAATAAAAAAATAAAAAAAGCCAGCTAAAACAAATTAGAAAAGAAGGATTAGACTGTAAAAGTAACAAACATAAGTATACATTGACCAAAGCATCACAGTAACTATCAACAGTGATTCCACCTATATATACATCTTCCACTACGTGACTTCAAAGCCCCAAACTAGATTCCCACTTCAAAAAGCACATTGCAAGAAAGGATTTTTTGGCTTTCTAAATCTCACTAAAGCAGATCTATACTAAAGCACGAAACAAAATCCAATAAAAATGCATGGCCCACCTGCTTTAGCATATCAACATTAGATTGGAATGCGGCATTAAAATATCGTAGTGTTCATTCATTTTGATTAAATCAATTTCACACATGAATGTTGCCTGTGTCACTTCTGTATTCCTAAATGTTATCATTTAAAATTTGGACACAGTTTTAAAAAAAAAAACAAACATACACACAGCCCAGAGCTTCAGGAACAAAGCTATATCCACCAGTTCAGTCACAAAACTTTCTGTACAGAGAGAAAAAATAAAACTATTCTTGTGCATGTCTTTAGACAGTAGGACAGTTTAAGAACTATTCTTCATTCTGCAAGTTTATGTGAAGGTTTAAAGGTTTAAAGATGGGGTAAATAGACAGCCAATGCTTCTCCAAGTCTCTTTCTTACAGCAAAGGCTACTTTATCCCATCAAGCACAATTCTTAACACTACTGAAAATAAGTCCTCAATCATAAATAAAATTTCCATTTATTAAATACATATTTCATGAATACATGTTTGGAACAGATTTTCCATATTAAAACCATGTACTGAGTATAAAAGGAGTTCAGGATTTGTTTTTTTTTGCCCTATTAGGCCTTACAAAAAACACGCCAAACAAGATCGTATCAGAAAGAACCATTAGCACTTGTGCAACTTGCAGAAAATTTAAGGATACTGATCAAATCATTACCATTCTTTTAACAATCCATAGCTAGGGTACTTATAGCAGTTCTGTGGAAAGAGAGGCTAATGTATGCATCTGCAATGGACCTTGTATTGCCAAATAAACTATTTTAGAGCAGCTGTTGTGGCCAGCATATAAGAAATGAATCCTCTATAAACAGATGTTACTGAAATGAAAATAGAAATCAAGAATTACAGGACTTGAAATATTAATTCCTTTAATCTAGATCCATCAAGGAAGTACTTACTAATTGTCATCGATTCGGGCATAGTGGCTGAAGGCAACATATTGCTTAAAGTATTCACTTGAGCTGGAGGACTGACTTCCACTCTAGTTAAAGAAGTACAATGTCATCAATAAATGTAAACAAAATCCGGAATCCAAAACTTAAGAAAAAAGAAACTGGAATTCTCATCAACTATTCAAAACATAATCATGCACATAAAACAACACATATTCAACTACTTTGTGTTCAATTCTTGTTTAAGATATGTTTCATCTGATTTAAGAGCAGAAGCAAAAAACGCTCAATCAACAAGTCACAAAAAGCTTGGCTAAGATACTCGAACAACATAAAACCTACTTTGTCCTTCCAAACATTTCCAAGATTAGCCTAACAGTTTGTTTTCCAGTGCTGAATGCTATCTGTTAGACAACCATAGTAAGCTGGCAGCTATCTATAAGCTGCAAGTGGCTTTTTCGTGGGTCTTTCTTTTCCTAACAAGACATATTTGTCCTGTCACATACCTGTAGGAAAGATCAGATCTTCTTGGAAACAGTTCTACTGCATCAAGAACATCTTCGTGCCCCCCTCCATTCTCCAATTTATCTAAAGCAGAATGCATATATAAGCTTTCTTGAGTTCACAGTATTTTAAAAATAAAAACAAAACCAAAAAGAAAATAATCGCATTTTCACCCAGATAAAACTTAACTTTACTAAAGAATTTTAACTGCTTAAAAACCTTCTCCAAATGTGCCTTCTGCACATTCACCCCTCACACAGGTAGGATTGTAACACAATCATCTGCTTGGAAAATTTTTCCTATAGCAAAACTACTTATTATAGTATAGATGTTGATATTTAACATCGATAACAACGCAGTAAAGTTATGAAGAAATTTTTTATTGAACTTATTTTTACAAGTCCCAGGAATTCAATTAACATTTGACATCTGATACTCATTACAAATCTGCTTTGTGACTAGCAGGAATGGAATTTGTAGTTAGTCCCCAGTATCTCAAATCCTGAAAAGGTGCCATTCCTTCATATGTTCCCAACAGAGTATCATGGCTTTTCGTCAACTTTTTTCTCTTTTTTTTTTTTTTTTTTTTTTTTTTTTTTTTGACATTTGGTACACACACCCTATAAACCAAATATCAGAAATAAGGTATTTCTCAGAAAAGCATGGAAAATACACATCTGTCCACAGATCCACAACTTTCAGTATCAAAACATATACATCATTGGGCCTGCCACGATGGTAGGGTCACTTGAAAGGAAACAAACAACACCATCCTCCTCCTAGGAATGTATTAAGAAAAACATAAATAAATAAATAAACAAATACATGTATGTATGTTTTTGCACCTCAGTGTGTAAGGTTTACAAAGATACCGTAAAACAATCCTGAAATCACAAGCTAAAAAAATAAGCATAGAATATAAAAATCAGGAAGTACGAAATAATAATAATAATAATAATAAAAATGACGGGAAATTGTTGTTGTTGTTTTGTTTTGTTTTTTAAGTTCCTAACTATATATTCCATTTTCCTTCCAGGAAACTGATTTTTGACTCTGGCTCTCTCATTTCTATGTATGTGGAAATACCATATGTCCTGACACATCCCTGAGGCATAACAGCAGACTCTGAAAACTCATTTGAGCAAATAACACTCTGTGTTATATATTTGAAATATATATATACATATATTACGGGAAAACTGGAAAAAAATGAAACACTTTCTATTTTTTTTTTCTGAGCCTCTGGCACCTTTTAAGAGGTACAAATACTAGAACACAGCAGAGGGCAGTAGAGCATTATTTTATGAGTCATGTTATTTTTATCTCTTAACATACAGAAGAAAACCATGCTTTTTCACAGCTGTTTATTTAACGGTCTCTTTAAACTCTCAGAACAAATGATGGATATCCAAAAAGCGTTCAATATTTTACCGTTAAAATAGATTATCTGAATGCCACTGGGAAGTGATAATTGGTTTCTGAAATACTCAAAGGCAATGTTTTATAAACAGCTAGCAAATATCAACTCCATACATTTCTGAGGAAGTTTTTTGACACTAGAACAGATACTGAAAACGTAGTGAGCGCTGTTATCCATACCTCTACCCGTTCTCATTGCTTTCTTCAAGGTATGGACCACACCATTCTTTAAGTACAGTACCCAAAAGTGTAGAGGCCACCAGTGCATAAACTTACAAGTGACTCTTTCATTTAAGCATCTCAGTGTGAAACGTGCTTTCAGTGTAGAAGCACAATACTGCTAATTCATTATGGACTTGTAACCCCGTATAACTCCCATAACTTTTTCCAACTATTTCCTAGCCAATCACTCCTCATCCTGTTTATACAGAGATAACAACTTCTATTGAATTACATTCAATAGTTAGTAGTTTCTCTGATCTCCAAGGTCAAATTAAACTACCAAACAACCTTTTAGCTTCTTCCAGCTCACTGGCATCTACCAATTGGATAAGGACACTTCTTATTCAACCATTCAAATAATTAGCAAAACACCACGCATACAAGACTACAGCTTAATGACAATAGATCTCTAGTCTATTTTCACATGGATAAATCCTCTTCAACTAACCAGCTTAGAAATGAGCTATAAGACTACTACAAAGAACTTTGTTACTGTCTAGAAAAAAAAAATTCGAACATCTTGTTCAGTCTGTACAATGCCATGCTTGCTCACCACTGCTGCACGTTAGAAATTTCATTACAAAGCTTGTTGGTATTACATACAATTAAAATATTTACCAGTTTGGGAGTCAACAGCACTGACAGGAAACAGGACATCTGAGTCATAATTCAAAACTTGCAGAGGAGTCCAGCTGCATATCTGAGAATTGCATGTGACAATTTCATGAGGCCTATACAGAAAAACAAAAGCAAATATTACATAGTCAAAGATTTCCACAATGCTCATAATTCTTTCAGAGATATGACTGCATGAAAAGCCTTTATTTCAATCTCCCTGCCAATTTCTTAGTTCAGATGTACATAAAGTCACAGAAGACACACACAAATTTCTTTTAGCAGCCTTCCAGAACTTAAAAGGGGCTTACAGAAAAGATGAGGGATTCTTCATCAGGGAGTAGCAACAGAACAAAGGGTAACAGTTTTTAAACTAAAAGAGGATAGTTTTAGATTAGACATTAGGAAGAAATTCTTTTCCATTATGATGATGAGACACTGCAACAGGTGGTCCAGTGGAAGGTGCTCCTGTCCAAGGCAGGAGGCAGAGCTCAATGATTTTAAGGTCAATTAAACTATTCTATAACTCCATGATTCGAAGATCAGATTATTTCAAACTATCAGTTTTATGATTCTGTCTTGGTAAACATTACTCTGATACTAGCAGGCTCTGCTTAAAATACATGGGTTTTCTGTGAAGCCAAACTAAAGCCGGTATCACACTAAGAATAAGTAAATGTCAAAGAAGTCAGAACTGCAGCTTTGCAAAAATTTTGGAAACTGAGAATGTCATGGAGAATAAATCTGAAATCTCAAGATTCTGATTTTAGGTGAAACATAAATGCAAAATATCCCAAAACTAGTCCAAATAGTTTAAACAGAGAACTAACCAAAAAAAAAAAAAAAAAAAAAAAAACTCTACCAGGATTTTTGTGAGTTAGGCAAATTTGCCAGTGACCATGAAAGTAGAAGGAAAAAAAGAGAAAAATTTACCACTGGTTTCTTCAATAAAGTTACTTACTTTTCAGAAGGTTCAGTTTCTGCTTCTGTGCCTTTATTTCCTGATGTTTTTCCACATAGTTCATCTTCATCTGCATCTTCATCATCAATACTTTTCACATCTAGTTTCTGGTATTCATACTCTCCATTCATAAAAACAGAATTACTTTTCCACGAGTGGTTACTTTCATTCTCATTAGAATTTTTTCCATGATTGGTTTCAGATGAGGGTAATATAAAAACTGAAGATCTATCTAAACTCTCCTCTGAACTTTGTCCCATAATAGGGGTCTTTGTGGCTTCTCCCACATTTAGTTCATCATTTTCTTCATCAAATGATATTATATTTGTCACCCTCTTCTTCTTTTTTCGATCTTTCTTATATTTCAATTCTATTAGCAACATAAAAGTTTACATATTTTAAAAAAGAAAAAAAGGATGTATTACATTAACAGAACTCATGTACTGAATGAGTTTATAAAAGAAGAAAGAATCCATTTAATTAGGCATTTCATTATCTTTCCATACACATCGAAGTAACTCAAATTTCAAGAATTATTTTTGAGGTGCATATATAATAGTATTTAATTGGAAGTGGAAAAAAATATTTCAACAAACAACAAAATGAAATCCAAGAGAAAAAGCCTCTCAGGCACCTACTTTTATAAGTGTGTATTTCAGAGCATATCTAACAAAAGGAAAAAAACCATGAAATATTCCTGGGAAATAATGACGATAAAGATAATAAAATACACCTTCGTTACTTTTGAAACTGACAATTATAGAGTCCTTAGAGTTTTAAGAGACTTTTAGAGGTCATCTTAGTCCAACTCCCCTGGAATGAACAGGGACATGCACAGCTAGATCAGGCTTGCCTTTCAAGTCTCCAGAGATGGAACATCAGCCACAAAACTATGCAACCTGTTCCAGTGCCTCACCACCCTCACAGTAAAAGACTTTTTCCTTATACCTAACCTAAATCTGTCCTCTTTGAAGTTCAAGCCATTTCCTGTTCCATCACCACAGACCCTGCAAAAGAGTCTACAGACTCTGCTTAAGACTCTAATGTATAATAAATATCACATTTTAATTGATTAATTTTAAATTACAAGGCACTAAAATATCAGGCCCTTGTCAGTGATGGTGCCCTGCAAAGTGGTTACACCACTAACATATTTAAAGTCCAAGAAAAGCAATGACTAATTTTTTATTTGTGGTAATTACCTGTTTCATATAGGAGTTTAGACTATAAATTTAGTTGCTGTTTGAAGACTACAGGCTTAATTTTTTTTTTTTATCTGGTATATAACAACAGTTTAGATGGCTAATGAAATGCCAAAAGTAAACATACTAAAAGTGAAAAATCATTACATCAGACACTTCAAAGCATAATTTTATGAGTAAGAAGTTGAAATTCAGGTCACAATTACAGCACCAACACGACAGTCTAGCTTCCCTCTTGCACTGATAAAAGGAAGCCAAAATAACTATTAGCTTCCCATTATCCACACCTGTAGTTTTGAAAACAAAATTAAAGAAGAATGAACCACACCTAACATTTCACATTCAACTGTTTTGTACGCACAGCACATGCATTTTTTAGATTTTTTTTTCTATGACAGTACATAAGTTTTTGAATGACATCAGTACAGCAAAAATGCTTACCAGCATTTACATTCTTTGAGAGAACAGGAAGCGGATCAGTGTCTTGATCAGGTTTTATGAGAATGGAGACAGCAGAGGATGCAGTTATCTCTCTAAGAAGACTACTAACACCCTGAGTGGATTCTTTCAATAATGAAGTTACATTTTGTGTTGATTCTTTTAACAGATCAGACACTGTGGGTGTGCATTTGCTTTGTCCATTTAAATCTCTATTATCAATGTTGATTGCAAACAGAATGGAGTTCAGACCTTCAGATAAAAGAAGGGAAAAAAGTAAGACCAAAACCCCACTTTACAAAAAAGTTACAGAAATAGAACCTAGGTATATAACAACGCTGACAGGTAAAACATTTTTCCCCCAGATTTTCCTGCCATTCTCTATGCATGAATTCTTTCTTTTCTACATATCATTCACTCTTTCTAAAATACTACTCAAGTGTTTTCAAGTTCTGAATTTATCTTTACTTATGCAGTTCACAGTACTTTTTGAGTATGTAATGTGCAGCTGAACTGGTTTATTTACAGTCTTTTAAATCTTCACTGCAGCTTTAAAATTTGTTGCATCCCATACTTCATGAATAAAAACCTGTGAATTCTATCTTGCATAGAGAAGCATGTGATAGTGTACCTCAGAAAAACGATGTATACAATAACAATACGCAGCTTCTGAGACTTCATTCCAGAAAATTAAGCTATATGTAGCCAGGTCTTACACTTTCTTCCAGTACATTTATCTGCATTCTGGGTCTGACTAAAAAAATCCTACCTCTATTATTCTTTTCAGGTCAAGAGCAACCCATTTTTTCTTCAAATCAAGATAGTTTTAGAGGAAGAAAAGAATTATCCTTAGTAGCAAAGGGTCAGAAAATCTATCTGAAACACTTTGGAACCTATAGAAAAGCTAGACTCAGGATTTAGAAAATTCATAACGTAAACTGGCATAAGACCTTTACCGTTTACCCGAATGTGTATCTGATGCATATTCTCCGCAGAAGCTAACAGAGAAAATCCTTACAAGTGAAACAGAAATGACATCTCAAAATGAAGCAGTTTTCCCAAAATAGTAGTATATAAGAGAGGTGTTACCAGCTGCCATTGTAGGAATCATACTAGAACGTTCTTCATCCATCATAAAAGACCAGTCTTCATATAAGACACTATGATGTGAAAAGAAAAAGAAAATAATATTGAGTTGAACATTTACAATACATTCCACTTTCAAAACTCTGAAAAATAAGTACGACTACATCAACAGATCAAACGTACATCACAGTAACTCGATGAACATCTGAAATATTTAGACTGTCTAAACAATCACAATAAATAAACATGCATTTCCTTAGCTGAAAACTATGAGATTCATTGAAATTGTATTTTATCTGTGGTTGTAGCTCCACATCTTTTTTACCAGGTAAGAAAAAAACACTTAGGACAAGGATGTTCATGCTACAATAGTAATCACAATTGTTTGTCAATGTCTATTGCTGCTATTCAACATACATAAGTTTTAAAATAATTACAGTTGACTTTATGGTCACCGGACATTTACAAAGCATGCATACAAATGCATGAACACAACCTAAATATCTTACTAACTTTGACAGGCTGTTTCAACACCCGAAACCACATCAATTACCCTAAATTGTTAGGGTCAACTAGGAATTTGATGCAAGGAAAAGAAACTTCACAGTGAACAAAATGTTAGTTGTTCTAAATCCAGTCCTTTTTAGTAGCAGGATGCTGTGTTTCAACTGTCAGCTTTCAGATTTAAAAGAAAACATAAAAACAGACAGCAAAAAAGACCTCAATCTACATTAAACAGAATAGAATATAGAATAGAACAGAATCTACATAACATAATAGATTCATTTAAGTTTTCAAAACTGATAAGAGTCAAGAACGTAAACTGATTCTGGAAATTCCACTTAAATTTAAATAACATATCTTAAGTATTCTACAACAAGCATTTTTGGAAACAAGAGTTCACTTACAGTGCTCAGAGTGCTGACAGTCTTGCTACAGCACATACACCATTACAGGCATCAGAGTACTAAACCAAGTAATCTAAACCACAAATCTCTCCGACAATAAAAATCTGAAAACTGTTGTAAATCTTGCTTTGTCTCTATTTGACTTCATTTAAAATCTATCTTGCAAGAAAGCTACAGAGGGCTGGAACAGACTGAAAGTTACTAAAGAGATCAGTTCTGAAAGTATATTCATTAGTTGATGCAAATGGAAATAGAGCTTTTCTGCTGAATTCACTAAGTAGCTCAAGCTCAACAATTAGAATAATAAATGCCACAGATTAAAAAGAAAACAAAAAAAGGATTGTAATATGTGTAACAGAAAAGGTAAGACTCAGGCAAGAATGAACATTTTTGTGTATTTTGCACATCCAAAGTATATTTTGTATTGTGAAAACCTAAGAAATCATTCATGTGGTAATTCTGTAAAAGGAAGTTCATAAAATATTTCCAAGTAACCTACAGAAGTAGCTACCCACTGCTTGACTGGCAGAGCTTGTAAACTACAGGGTAAGCACCTGCAAGCGGGCTACAGGCAACTACTACTCTGAAATAACAAAATCAAGGCTGAAATACTATGTGATTTCATTAGAGAGAGGGAGGCACTCAAAGTCTCTTTCATAACAGTATTAAGGTATCAGAGAGAACAACTGCTCAAAGAGCAGGAAAGAGGGTCAGGAAAGAGGATGGAAATAAATATAGAAGCGTATATTCTCACATGCAAAAATGAAGCCAGCTTCAGGTCACACACAAATTTGGGCACAAGCCACTATCTCAGTGACTGAAAATTTCAAAAATGAACAAAATAAACACATGTGAGGTCAAAGTAGGAAAACTAGACTAGAAATAACACTATACATTATTACAGTTGTATTTCTTGGGGAGTTTTTCTGTTGGTATTTTGATGACTTTTCAGTCTCAATATTTCATTTCTCACTACATGCACAATTCCTGCATTACAGTGACATCAAATACAGTACCTAAGCCGATTCTTGTCTGCAAGTAGCATATGAACATATCTTTCTAGGGAATGTTCATTCAATGCACAGCGCAACCAAGCCCGACCTCTGCCGATATCTGTAGTAATTGTCTTCAGAGAGTAAAAGCGCTGTAGTTCATGTTTATTCAGAAATTCTTTCACATAGTACCAAAACACTGGCTCTGCAGAAAAACAAAACAAAAGCATCACAGTAAGCTCTTGCTTTATCTACATTGGTAGCTTGGAAAGTAATGCCTCCTATCTGTCTCAGTGAAAACTACAACAGATTCAAAGAGCAAATAACACTGTTTGGTAAAGCAAATTCTCAAAACAGTGTTTTTCAACAGTCACCACCGTTATCTGATTCACACAGATGAGGAAATTGAGATGCTTTTAATTTCATGCTGTGGCAGCTGTACATGGCTGTCTGGAACATTGCTTTCCTTTCATGCCGCCGTTACCACTGCTGAAATGCAACACCTACAGCCACTATGCTCACATTCATTGTATGGTGAACAGAAACATTCACACACACCCATGAATGTCAATGTGTGCAATTTTTCCCCATATGTAGAACGGAATTCTACACTCTCCCTTCATATACACCTCCATGTCAGACACCAGTTTGTCAGACTGCCCCTCTGCTACCATCTGTTGCACAGCAACAAGACATAGTGGGAAGGTTCAGCCTCTGCTGCCATCCCACCAACATCCATCTCTAATGCCTTGAGCCAGTATCATACAACAAGAGGCATTACTTTATGAGCAACCCACATATTTTACTTTCTCCTATCAAAGCAAGTTTCATTACATATTATTTCAAAACAAGGACTGATTCACACAGTAAATTATCTCCAATATTCCCAATTGAATAAATCCCAACAAAATAAATTTACCATGCAATTTTATATATTGTTCCCTGACTGTTTTATAACTTGAAAAAAAGTGAACGATTTACTATCTACATATAACTCTCCAGTTAACTCTCACATTATTTCTACAGAATTTTGGCCACTTAAGCACTTAGAACTTGTCACTTTACTGAAGACACCAAACACATTGAAGGATTTGTGCCTACATTCTAAAATAATCATATTCAAGTTGCAGAGTGTATTTAAACTAGTATTTCACTCAAGAAACAGATTCACATCTGGGAATATGCTATGCAAAGAAAGAAATGCGTCTAGAACACTTTTTTACTGTTCTCTGCGAAATGATAAAATCGAAATGATAGAATTTAAGTAAAAAGGAATGGGTTGATCCATAATTTGCAGACATGCAAAGGATAAAGTCAAGTGTTAAATATAAAAGGCAACACCTGTTCCCACAACAATACTTCCCTTGCACTGCCCAAACACTGATAAAACTTTTTTTTTTACATTCACATAAGTATTTGAAAGCTGAAAATTTATATTGTCAGTAATGTACTAAGAAACTGAATTTAGGGTAGACAGGCCTTTAAGAAAAAAAAATATATATATAGATATATATAGATATAGATATGAAAGAGAAAATGGACAGATTCTGTCACTCCTTATCACATTTCTAAATCATTTTAATGTAGTTGCAGTACCAGGAAGAGGTCATCCATGATGTTCCCCTTTTTCTCTGCTAAATAAACAGCACACAGTCAGGTTTCAAAGAGGTTTTTACTACAGGTTGTGATTTCTGGTGAAATGCACTCATTTGGGGGTACAATTTTATTTATTAATCTCTACTGAAAGCCATTAGATTAGTAAAGCTGTCAACAGTGCCATAGTTTTTGAAAACTGAACAAATAGGTTAGACTCATTTACTAGAAGTTTTGCTAATAAGATTTGATATCTGTGCAAGAATAACTCAGAATTGTTCTAAGTGAGACAATGTGAACAATGAAATACAGGAAAGATGGAACTGCCAATCACAAAAACACTGAATTTGGAAGAGGCCTCTGGACGTCACCTGGCCCAAAACCCTGCTCAAGCAGAGTCACCTACAGCAGGTTGCCCAGGACTACATGGCATGCAAACTATGGGCATACTTGGCTAAACTAGAACTTAATAGACAGATTAACACATAAAACAGTAAGTCCACAGCATATATCAGAGTGTTAAAACATCCTATGCCATATCCCTTTGACTACAGCTTATTTGATCTGCATTAAAAGTCAAATACATATATATCCCAAAAAAGAAAGTAGACCATACAATGTTGGATTTGTATCAAGTGAACAATGATTTAATGATTTTATTTTTTCATATTAACAACAGAATTTTTCTGTCTTGCTAAAAGTCAGAACAATGCAAAAGAAGGAAGTGAAATTATTGCAGGAACAGAAAAAAATAAGCAGGTTTCCTCTTGTGCCAAGAGCAAAACTTAGTGTTTCTTGGTATCCTATTTATTTACAGATACCAAGGATTCTGACAATCAGTTTTTAATCAAAATCTATTCAGTGGAAATTAAGTAGAGGCATGTACCCAAAGTCTTCCCATGACATCCTTGAAAAAAGATGATGCAAGTGGCATTTTCAAATGAACACATTCTTTTCAAAAGTAAAATTAAACGAAAATTCATGTCCTAACAGCTGATGCTAAATTTCATAGCAAGCAATTGTATACATACTATTTAGATGCAAGATTTTAATTTCCGTAAAAAACAATTTGTATAATTTTACTATAGGCTACGTAGTTTTTCTTCTATCACAGTTGCAATAGCTATGACATTGCACAATGAATCATTAATCAGCACCAATGAGCAACAATGTCCAAAATTTAGAGCACAGAAATCAGTTTGAAGCCAAGCTCATCAACTTCTTAGACAAAGAAAAGAAAAAAATTCACATCATTCAGCAATTGTGCATTTCAATTTCAATCAATTAAAGAATGGTTTCTTATTTGAGCGCATCAAGTTAGAAGATGATTTGAGATTATTTACACAATTGGAAATACTAGTTTCCTGATGGATAACACTCCAAACAATCTCACTTAACTTCATAGATGTTTACTGGACTGCAGACCTCCTGAGGACAATTCCAACCTTAATTAGCCTATGAACCTCTGAATCTGTGCAGTAAAAAAATGCTAAAAAAGTATCACTGGCAGAAAGGTTTCAGTAAGTCCAGTATCTTTAATAAGGCAGAGGCAATGGAAAAGTTGAGCTATTTAGAATCTTTTAGCAATACTGCCCTAATATGTTTTAAAGTGAATTCTCCAGGGAATGCAACCACGTTTTGATATCAGCTACAGCATTCATTCTCACATAAACTTAACCTATGAAGACAAACAAAGAGTATAAAAAGAGAATAAACAGTTAAATGAAGAGATACACAAGAGAATAAAAGCATACAGAATAAATGAGAAAATCTGTAAAGATTCTATAAACCTCTGAATTGTTTTACTTGTTACCTAGAATCTGCCCATTATTAAGTAAAAGAAATGCAGATTTCTCTAAAAGCATAACTACTTTAGTTCCTCAGAAAGCTAAGCCTGTAGGCTCTAACTTATTAGAAAAAAGGTCAGCACACAAACACCCATCAGTTCACCCTATCATCAACAGGAGATGCTGTCAGAGAAAATTAAGGCAACACTGTAACACCTTATGCATAAAGCATTAAGGTAACACCTATTAAAAGCAATTGCATAGTGCAATGGGAAGTTACATTTGGAGACTAAAGCATATAGTTACATAGAGTATTGAATACAAACAAAAAAAAAAACCACCATGTGTTACATATTTCAAATTCAAAAAATAAACACTTTATCATAAGATGTGGATACTGGTTAAGAAATTATAGAAGATTAATTGTAAGTCAAATTTCACTACAAAATTAGTGATGAGGAATATCTGTATATACTTTTGATAAAAAAGCAAGGTAAGCCTCAAAATGAAGGCACAAAAATAAAGGAAGCTTTTTTTTTTTTTAAAGTAATAAAAAACAACTGCCCTGGCTGACTGCCCAATAAAAGCAACAAAAGTTTTGCAGTTCTGAAACTCCTACAGAAACTTAGTATGAAAGTTAAATACTAGATTAAGAAAGCAATAACCACTTTCACCCCTTAATGAGATTCCAATTACTCTGCAGTCTGCAGCTTGGTTCACCACCCAAAACGTTTATTTGAAATCATTCTGCTTCCTTGCACTTTTTTTTTTTTTTTTTAATAGAATAGTTATGATTAATGAGTTACCTGTTTCAGTTTTACTAGAGAAACCTGCTGCCTGTTTGATTGCTGCTGCTGTTAATGCTAATCCTCGGCTCCTCCTCAGGCCGTGCTGTAACACAGCTTCAAACTGAGCGCACAAGCAAGTGACTCTGCAACAAAATTTTTATGCAAATCACGTGAAAAGAACAGTCAACTACATTTCTCTAGAGCAGGTTTTCTCCAAATCTCTAAGCAGAGTATGTACAGGAGAACCTTTATTTTACATACAATGAAAGATTCTCTGGATGAATCAATTTTATTATTCACAAAACAGTACAAGATAGCTGAACCCACAGTCTCATCATGGCTATTAAAGCTAAAATACAAATTACACTCAGTAGAACTAGCGATATGAAGTTACCTGCAACTGCTATAGTGTTTTTTTAGCCACGGTAATTCAGCTTTGGATTACCTAATTTCCATGCAAAGCAACTATATATTCATACATACACTACACATGCAATAAATTTTCTGAAAATATACTAAATTGTCCTATACAATTAGTTGACAATTTTGATGCTTGCATTAGTGCATTATAATTCAAGTTCAGGAAAACAAATTAACATTGTAATGCCCCCCAGAAACTTCAGGCATTGGAAAATAAGCACAATATTCCAGCGATGTTGTTCTTTATGATAATATTTTTAAAAATAATCCATTTAATCAGTTTTCATACAAGTAGTAACACTAACAAGAGTAGTTTTAAAGCTCAGTCTGCCAAAACAAGGATTACTACTGTAACCTACAGAATACAGTAAGGCCTAAGATATAAAGGAAATTAGATCTCCAACAGAGTTTGCACTGATTTTCTCCAAGTTTTATTTTTGCCAGTGAATAAACAATACTTAAAACCTAAGTTTTAAGAAAGATGTCACCTGGCTGCAAAAACTGCTTTCAAAAAGGAAGGAAAGATACTTGAACTAAAATTAAGCGATTAAATAAGAATAGCTAATGAGGTGGCTCAGAACTCTGAACATTCTAAAACAACGGAGTTTCATTCAAGGATACAAAAAAGCAGTGGATCTTAGGAAGGGCACTAAAAGAGAACAGAAGTCACATATCTACCTTAATCAGCAGAGCAGTAGAGCTTTTAAACCTGTACTGCTTCACAGTACACATGTTATGAAAACTTTACGTTGCAATATTAATAAAGCAGAATAAGATTTAAACAATTCTCAAGAAGAATTTTGGGTAGGTACGACTGATTTTTGCTAAACATAAATAGTGCTGTTGAAAATAGAAATGCTAGCAGACACATAATCAAAAAAAAAAAAAACAACAAAGTCTACTTGACTTTCCAATTCTGAAAAAGCAGAACAGAAATGAGACTCTGGGAAAGAGTTCATATTATTGAAAATTGACATGCACTGAGAACAAAAGCAAGAAAACCATGCAGCACTTTTTAAATTTAAGAATTTAGCCGCTAGTGGAATGGAGTAAAAAAAAAAAAAAAAAAAAGTCAAGTATTCTGCAATGCCCAATATACATGTACATAAATCTCACACATCTAGAGTATTTACTACGTAGTGGGATACAGGTGTGTTAAATAAATACAGAAAAACATGGAGAAGTCCTAGATTTCTAGACAAAGAACTCTAAGAAATTGTAACTTCAAAGATGAAAAAAGGCTATGAGAACAAAATGCTGAGAACTGTGGATTTTACTGGATTTTGATCTAAATTCTCATACTATCTTCATTTCCAAAATTTTCTCACAAATAATATATTACAGTAATAACCCAAACACGTTACAGACACACCTATCTATCAATGCAATTTGCTCTTCCTTTTAATTGTGAAACAGAACACCTGTACTACATCGTGGTAGAGGGCAGGTGTTTATTTGGAAGTTGGTTTGGCTTTTTTTAGTAGCTTATTATTTTGCTGTTTTTGTTTTTCTGTTTGTTTTGGGGAGTGGAGTTTGAGTGTATGAAGTATATTGAGCCCTATATTTTAGGTAATTATGATGCATAATTTAAGTACATTAAGAATTTCTCGGAATACTTTACCTGCTATCAGAATCTGAAGCTATTTCTTTTCTTCCTCCAAACCGTATTTGACACTGCAATAAAGAGACTTTAAAAATGCTTTGTTACAGCAAGACACACAATACACTGAAATCTTTTCATTTAAGAAATAAAAGCTCATGACAAAAAGAAAACAGCACAAGATGGACTATTGGAAAATACACTCTGCAACCAAAATTGCTTTTTAGCATCATATTCCACTAACAGACTACCCTAGCAGTTCTTGCTAGACACAACATCATACCTGCATTATCTGAAGAAAAAAAATAAGTAAAAATTATTACTTTTGAGTTTTAAATGTATACCCATAGAAACAAAAAAATGCTCCCTCTCAGCTCAGTGCTACATTTATAGAACTATTTTCTATAAAACATACGATTATCTCACTTTCAAGGCATTCTTTTACCTTCCACGCTCTTTTAAGTTGAATCAAATCTATTATAATCTATATGCTGAACTTCCTGTACCCTCAGTCCCATTTTTACCCCTCACTGAAACCCCAGCGTGAAGAAATAAAGTTGATACTGTATGATGCTATCCAATTTAGCCCTCACAGAAAACAATTTATCTCAGACATATAAGCACTACAAATATAACTTGTCTATACAACAAATTTAAATAAGATCTGCAGAACACTCATCTGCTAGCAGACACAAAAATTCAGCAGTACTATACAAAAGACAAGGTTTCTTCTTTGTCTGGTAAAAATAAAAACAAAATAAAGGCAATAACATATCCGGTCAGTATTGAAGACACAGAATATTGTACAATACTGTAGAAACATTGATTGGATTTCTCACCTGCTTAACTGCATCCAGTAACCGTTCTAGAAGAAACTGCCTTTTCACGTCATTGTTTTGTGAACCTGAAAATCCAACGAAGTTCTATTATTTGAAAATAAATAAAATTTTAAGAGAAGTATATTGTGGTCAACACTGGTGCCCTGAAAAACATTCTTCATATGCCAGTTATTCCATTAAATTTATGGATTAATTTTCTCCAAGTAAAATGATGTAGTATAAGTCTGTATTTTGATGTTTCAGATAACCTTTCACTGATATACAGGAGTACTGTTTGAAAAATAATCTAAATTCTTATTAAAATAAGAGTGGTTTCATGATACAGGGTATACTGCAGCTGCACCAAGTATAATGTAACAGTGTACAGGCAGTAAAACCAGCTCCTGGTGTCTTAGCACAGCTACCTGTGGGGCCATACTGAAAGGCTTGAAATAAATTAAAGATTTTGCCATTGTTGTTGAATTACATGTACGATGCAGTCAAAACTGCAATCCCATAAATTCTCATATGGGGACAACTACCAGTACAGCATATCACTAGAGCACAAGAAAAGAGAAAACAGGAAAGAGAGGAATTACTACTGAACAGTTGTTAAAAAAAATCCCTTAACACTTAACTGCCAGCGTAGTCTTCTTCCTGATTAATACCTATAAAATTCAGTTTGTTACTATACCAGAAAATCTTTAACTTTTCCACCATTTCAACAACAAGTAGCATTGTACTTTGCTTGTCTAAACATGCTTTATAAGCTCACATGAATATATACAAAATTTGTGGTTTAATTAATCTACATCACCTCCAATATTTCTTCATTCAGAGCTTAGGCTCAAAAAACATCTCTGACCTGCCAGTAGTTAATTCTTTTCTCCTTTTTCTCCCAAAGAACATTTAACTAATGTATGCATAGACTGAAAGCCAATTATTAAAATTCTGCATGAGTGAGCTTCTCCAGTTACCACATACTAAGCCACAGAATCACAAGGTTGGAAACGACCTGCAAGATCATCTAGTCCAACCACCCTCCCATTCCTATCAGTGCCACAAGCTACTAAACCATCTCTCATAGCTCCTCATCCAGGCGCCTCTTGAACACTGCCAGGGATGGCGACTCCACCACCTCCCTGGGCAGGCCATTCCAGTGCCTGACCACCCTTTGAGAGAAAAAGTTTCTCCTAATATCCAACCTAAACCTCCTCTGGTATAACTTCTGGCCATTTCCTTGGGTCCTACTATTTACCTGGGAGAAGAGGCCAGACCCTTTTGCACCACAACCTCCCTTCAGGAAGCCCTCCAGTAAAGAGGAATATCAAAGACACTGGACCCTTCCTCTTGCTGTCCAGCATTGCAAGGTGCCAACCCCAGAATTTCCTATTTTCAGAACAATATTAAAAGCAGTTCACTCCTTCCCCAGCAGGAGGAAGCATCTTAAATGTGGGAGATTGGGAGTAGGGATGAAAAAAGCTGTGTCTGTGATGCACATGATGCCAAAATTTAAAAAAGTAATAGGAAAAACATGTAAATCTAGCTCCTAAGCTTCAGAATGCTTACAGATATTTTTAAGAAATCACACTTAAGATTCTGAATTGCTTCCCACTGTGTAGACATATGACGTCTGAGGTTTGGTTCTGTTAGTCAAATAACATACACAAACTCAGCTGAAGATGTAAATAACTCTCAACCCTAGCAGATGACACTAGAGACAGGCCTGGCACCAAGTGTGTTCTAACTTCCAAACAATTATACCATTACAAAGATAAAGCTTAATTCATATAAACCTTACTACTTTACACTGTGCTACAACAGAGATTAGTTTCACAAACTTGTACTTGATATATCAAGCATCTAATGACAAAAACAGCAACACATGTCTACTTATCTAATGGCTTATAATCAATCTGACAACTGTAAAACAAGGGAAACAATTAAACCTCAAGCTTTACTACAAGATTCCATAAACAGCAATGCCAAACATAAGCAAAACGGAAGATACACTGTACTGCTTCAAGCTCATGTCCTCTACAGCCTTATGCTTTCGATGGGAGAGCAGACATAACGAGACATTTTTCTTGGTATTGAGTTTTAAATTGCATTACAACAAATGCATGCAATTAATAATTTCCCAACATAAAAACACTTTTCAAATGAAATAGTAAGTATGTGGGTTAAGTTTGTCTTACAACTGCAATCCATGTTAGTTTTTAAACTGATGCTTCT